GGTCTGACTTTGGGTAAGAGTAACTTTCACATTGTAACCGAAGCCTTAGAATCCTTCAGAGTGGTTGAATGTGTCGTAGTACAAGCCATGAGACCGACTTATTTAGAAACCGAGTTTCTATCCAGGGCTGCTGCTGATACTTCTGGTAAGGCTGGCGGAGTTGTACTTAGTCAACTGGCCGACTGCTGTTGGGCTAGCCACGTACACAGTTATGACTGGATCTTATTCATTATTCAAAATAAATTATTGCCGATATTTGTTTGTTAGCTCGGTTAGTAGGGCATCGAGTTAGAAACGCAGTGGTCGCGGGATCGAATCCGGCCGTGGTTCGAGTCTTCTTTTCACCTTCAGTCACTACTCACTACCGTCAGCATATTTATGACATAGACTTGCAGCCTCCTCCCCTTTCCATAAGTGACATTCTGAGCTTGGCTTCATCTGGACATATGAAGATGCAAGACATAAATGCACTGTATGATTCCTCAGTAGGTACCAGGAGGAGAAGTTGACCTTAGACAGAACGTTTAGGCCGTTTACTCTTCTCTCGTTTGCATGGTAATAGACTATTCATTACCCTCAATTCTTGCCACTTCTGCGAATAAATTTTTTCCACACAATAACTTTCTGTGCCATAACTCGCGAAGCTTTTTGGCCTGCGTATGTGACAGAGTTGCGAAAGTCCGTCGAAAGCATAAATGAAGTCATGGAGTGCCACTTGAGCTGGCACATTTTCGTCTTTGATGGTGGTTAGCCCTTTGACGGTGATAGAAATTAGCAAACACTAGCGGTTTACGATGATGTCATCCCATTCAGTCGCTGACTGTTTGTACCACACAGTATGTCTCAGCTTAGCATTACAGAAAGACTTCCTTGGAAGGTAAATCACTGAAGTTATTAAACTAGTCTAATAATAGTTACCCACCAGTTTGATGGACCAAAATGAAACCGTTGCTTTACTCATCCTTTGTAGACCACTGATTCAGTGGCTTTTAAGGGCCAGGACAACTGTTCCAGGGTGGAACCGAAAGTTACCCACAAAATGAGGGGACGTAGTTCCTCTATACCACTGAAATTAACAGAGACAAGCTTCAGGAGCAGTCCTAAGAAAACCTTCTCAATCAGTAGTCGTTTCCCTCAAGAGACAAAGCCACTTTAAATGACTTACGATCACTGAATACAACGTTAAGATGTGTTTATCTGTTAAACTCCTGTACGTTGACTGTTTGGGTAATGCTCCTGGGTACCCAGGTATAAACAATGAAGACGCGAAGCCAGACTTAGCTTATATAGGCCCCAGACAATTTTCGTTATCTGCTTATGGTGAGCTAGAGAGGACAATAGGGGGGAAATTGCAGTAGTAAATAAGGTCTGTTTGTGCCTACTGAACTCATGCGGAAGGCATCAGCAAATCAGAGTGCAATGAAACAAGGCTATTCAGTTGGAATTATCTACAAGGGCGTGAATCACACTCCCATTAAGTCCATGTTGCTAGCTGCGGTGGGAAGCAGAACAAGTTTGTCTTTGCTAGGAGAAATAATTAATTTTTTCGAATAATAGTACACACAAGTTTGTAAGCGTCACTACGTACTTAAACCAGTTTGACAACTTTGGCCAGCACGGCCACACCATCGAGGAATATTCAGCAGGTTTATATACACACACATATACATATATATGTAGCGAGAGAAGGCGAGAATGAATTTACAAAATGCAACAGAATAGCGGATATAAGGAGTTTCGGTGCACGGCAATTTCTAGCGAAGATAAATTTTATTCGTGTTACCCTGCTGCTTCGCTTGGTATTACCGAGCATAGATAAGACGGTACAAGCACAGCCATGAAAAGCTAATTAGGGTGCCAAGTTTGGGAATAGCTACTGGCTGTACGCAAACAAATAAATGGGGTTCACTGCTGATGCAAGAAGAATAAAGTCTTATGAATAACCCATGTAGGGAAGACCAAACAAGGGAAGATATGGTCAAAATGTAGAGCTCTTTAAGGAATATTCAGTGTGCCAACTGTTGCAATGCTGAAGTTTGCAGCTTGTCACTGATCGAAAGTGGGAAGCCCATACCATGCAATGAAACTGGAAGGGGGATTGTGTCAATGTGCAGTGCAAGCTGTCAGACAGTTTGATTTATCGTGTGTTACATTTTTTATCCGTTGTGGTCATCGTTTAAGTTCCACAGCAAAAAACTGGTGTCTTCCTGCAAATGGTAGTGTGTAACAAATGTCCATCAGTCGCCGATATCCCTTTTTCGATATTCTAGGCTTTGGCTAACTCAACTCTCAGATATTTGTTCAACGGCGTTGCTACTTTAGGATTTGTCCTGGTGCGAACTTGACATTCGCAAAGACCAATCACTAATTATTCGGACTTGCTACATACTCACTAGCACGAGCACAAGGAATAACACGATAGCGTAGTCGGATGGTTATGCCAAGATACCGACGCGTTCCAACTAACTGGCTAGAGAGTCGAATACGAGCAGTGCAACGTAACACGTTAGCGTGCCAAATAGCGAGGATGCTTGACCGGGTGCCTTCAGCTTAGCGAGTCCAGCTAAACTGTCGAGGTCAGCACCAATGTCGAAAGTCGTCAAACCCTAGGCTATTGCTTCCGGGGAAGTGTGTGACGCAACACCACCGTCACCGGATGGTGGTATCTTTTTGTCTAACTCCTACTCTTGATACCAGGTGTTGTGAGTTATGCAACTGCAACACCCCAAGAAATGAATGAAAATCTTTGCCACCCAATGCATGCCATTAGTTGAGAGGAAGAATAGCTGGATTTATTTTAAACTGCGCTGGAAAATAATAAATGGATATGAAATAATCTTGTGACAAGGACTCATTTTGAAGCTACCTAAGTATGTGCGATATTTGAAAATATATATCCTGTAAAGAAATTTCAATAACGGATGGTAATAATAGCATTATTCTTCATGCAGATGTTTGCGACTACGATAACAACAGTAGATAATGAACTACACAGAATGCCTTCTGCACGTGTATCAGAGCGCGTTCAGTCTTAGCCTCATGAAGGTGCATCACGGTGACCTTAAGAAGGTGACGGATGGGAGTTGCTCGATGCCAGTATCATCGCGAAACGGAGGAAGGGAAAACCCGGTTCAAAACTGTAGTTTTCATTTGGTGTTCGTACAAGCTAATTGTGTCCAAGCCACAGTGGCTATTAAAAATGTGAGCTTGAGGGAGTGCCATTGCTCACATTTGCTATGAAGTTAATAGGCTATGATAAACGGGTACAGATGTAAATGGGGTAGTGATCCATCAGGACTGAAAACCAAATTAAGAAGGCAAGTACCATGTTAAGCCCGAAGTCGAGATGAAAAATACCATTAAAGTATATTATTCATGACACGTGCGAATCCGTCGACTGCAGTAACCACAAAATTCAGGTAACGAAGTATACTTAATATCTCATATTCACGAGCAAGTAATGTAGGGGAAAAAGGGAGTATAAGAACCAAAGAAGGTTAGGGGAAGGAGGAATTCAGATCTGTACAAATGTTTACGTGAATCAAAATAATTTAACCGAGAAACCAATGAAGTAACAAGTAGATTATTAAAATGAGCACTGTGAGTGCTAACGTTTTGCACACAAGCACACAAGCTGGTATGAGTTGTATAGATTTTAGAAAGCAAACGACTTAAGTTTCGCCTGGTAAATTTTTTCAGTTCACGTACTCATGGTCATAACATGGTGTTACAAAGTGAGCACGGGTGTCGGGTAGACTTCATAATGGTTTCAGTGACATAACATCCTGTCCAGAAAAACGCCTCTCTTTTGCTCCTTATGCCTTCAGAAACACCTGAAGCGATGAAGCCATAAGTTGAATGAAATTTAGGCTTTATTTCCGGCAGCAGTTTGGGCTTTCCTCCTCATGCCTTTAAAACTGGCCTGGGCCCATGCACGAATTACATGAAATAAATATTATTACAGTCCGCCCTCTTCTGCAAGTGAACACCCTGTAGTTTCCTAATGGCAGTTTTCCAAGGCAGTTGTGTAGCATTGCGTATTACAGATACATGATTGCGAGTAATAATTCACGCCAAAAGTGAAACCCTGATTTACCATGTTACGCTTGAGTCCCGCAGGTTGCCGTTTGATTAAACAGGTGTGACAGGGATGAACCCAGGCTTGAACAAATGTTCGTGGTAATGGGTAGCAATTTGTTTTCTGCATTCGAGTCTTAAGAACGAGTCTTAACTGTTAGTTTGCACTTTCAGCCTTTAGGTCATTTTTGAAAAAAATAGACAGTGATTCTAAACAGTACCTTTGGTCACAGTCCGCTACTAATTTGAATTGGTCGGGATCATTTCCCGATATAATCCCAAAGCCTTTATTAAAGAATCGTATCACTCAATACATGTCTAACGCATACAAAATGAGTTCATTTACTACCGATGATTTTCTGAAGTTTTCTGCCAAAGTGCTGTTAGTCGCTACACCGTTGTTTTATCAGCATCTTGACCACCAAATAACTTATTTTTCATACCACCTCTGGCATTTTTCAACCAGTTTCAGTGACTGCCGCCCGACATATGGCGGCCATCTGAAGCAACCTCATTGCCTTGGGACAAACCAAACGCCTGTCTGCCAATCAAAGCCACAAAAATCAAGATCTTAATCTGCGGTGACTTCATAGGTTAAGGAATAAGATCCATCATGAATTTGACGCCAGTTCAGGCGGTAATGAAAAAAAATACTCAGTTTATTAGCTGGAAGAATACTGTACGATAGATCTAAAGCGTAAACCTAGCTGTGGAACTGTAGGATACTTACGGTATCTGTAAAATATTAGATACATATATGGGCCATTCGGTTAAATGCCGAAAAATAATAAAAGGGAATAACGTCGTCTGGTCACGAGCTTAGACTATGGGAGGTAAATCACGTGGCAGGTTTCAGTTATGCAGACTTGCCTTTTATTCAAATACTGAGTTTCATTATTTTTGTTTAAAGATCCTGCATCGTAGCAATAATTGAATTTCGGACGTCTAACTGTCTTTTTCGCTAATAACGCTACGCCTGCGTGGTAAGGGAAAACCGACAAATTGAGACTACCTGCGCTTTCTAAGTCCACTATACAATGACTAGTATAGAATTAAATGGAGTCAAAGAAGCGGACACCAGTTTGGTGGCTAACGGCGATTCATCGAAGTCAGAAAAAGCCAGCAAAGTGGACGATGTTTTAGATGACACACCTTATACTATTAAAGTTATACCTACCCATTCAGAACCATTCGAACTACAAGTAATGCCCTTGAATAAAAGTTATCTTTTATCTGAAGGTCAGCTCTTTTGAGCTGGTACAAGAAATCCATCGTGTATTGATGGATCGGGAAGAAACCTGCAGCTGTACTTGCTTTTCATTAGTCCTCAACGGTCAGACGCTAGACATGTTTGCAGAGTTGAAGTCTGTCAGTGGCATGGTCGATGGTGCCGAGTTGAAAGTTGTGGAAGGTGGTTCTCAATTTCAGTTTCTAAACATGCGTTTTAGAGCGTTACAGTGTTCGGGAAGCGAAAAATCATGTTAGGCATATCCATGACCTCCTTCATTCAATTGAACCCTATGATGCCTATGCTGGTCGGGAGCAAATGTCATTGTCATTTGTTAACACTATAGCTGGAGATCTAGGTAATATTTGGTCGTATTTCCAAGGATATTTCATGTTTTGTTTCGTGATTTGTTTCAATTACATTTGCTTTTTCAGTCTTTGACACCTTTTTATGAGTGGGTTTGTCAGTAGCTAACAAGAAGGTAAGGTAAGATATCTTTGTAGGCCAGGGGATCAATTTTCAAGGTTGAGTATGACGTCCCTAATAGTATTAATTATGGCGTGATTCACTGATTCTATCTGCCTTAATTGAAGACAACCATGACAGATTAGCTGAAAAACTAAAATATTGTCAGATGAAGATGCAGAAATGATATATCCTAGTATATGACCACTTCTGAGTCTGAAGAGTTGCTTTCTAGAGATGAATGAGGGTGGAACTTAGTTTAGGATCTTGTCTTGTTCTAATTGATCCCTATCTCGTTTATAATTTTCCCGAAAAGTGGGTAATATCCGTGGCGTTGGACTGTACGAAAGTTCCAAGTGTGACATGATCATGAGTTGTTCTCGAAACTTCATGCAGTAAAGTGCCATATAGATAAACTGAAGATATGTGCGTTACATATGTATGTATATGCTGTATTGGCCCCCCTTCGTGACCTGGATTCATGAGCCACTTTCATGAAATACTTGCTGCTTTAGCATCCTATTTTCGGTAAGTTACCCGTCAGTGACTCTAAAATTGGATTTGAGTTTATTTACCTTTGCAACCCAGAGCACCTCATTAACCTGGAAGATTTCAGGAATCATAAGACAGAACTATTAGTTTATCATTTGACCATATCTTATTGATTGTTGCGCTTCGTTACTTGTTATGGAACAAAAGCTGACAAATTACTGTCTTCCAGTTGGTTGTCTCGTTATTTACTCCTATAAGTTCCTTTCTGATATTAAAGCTTTGCCTTCACAAACAACGTTGAGTCTTACAGGTTGGATATTGCTTGTCGAGTATCTGTCTTTAATTTACTCTCGATGAATATGATAATGATATCTTGACCGTTAATATGTATATGTGGTAGGTTGTTATTCTATTTGTCTGTTTAATAAATGTCACATCATGAGACAGCATTATTTACCGGACAATATTTCGGATACGATTTGTTCATATTTTACATCAGATAGTTGCAAAACTGAGACGTGAGGAGTTACCGGATGTGAATACCGCCTGATTGTGTCCGAAATGTAAATCCAGTAAATAATACTGTTTCACTGTGATATATCTAATAAACAAAATAAAATGCGTTGATATAGTTCACTTTTTGAGGTGAATTTATGGAGTTAAATAGCCTTATTTGGTGGGACGTTATCGTTACACTAGACAAAGAACTAATAGCTCACAGGTTGCTTTACTGAAATCCATTTTGAAATGTATTGCATTCACAGTCCTCGATGAATAGTATCATATGGTAAACAAGGTCTCAAACCTCACGGCGGTTACCACTACCACTGTATCTCACCCATAATCACTAAATGTCTTGCATGTAATCGTAGGAATAAATGCCAAGTATCATTAAACAACGCATAAGTTCTGCAAAAGTTTTAAAGCTGATGTACTTCACCAGGTTCTACTTCGATTTGTCTGTCAGACGTCCAAAGTTATTTGCAGTCATGGAATCAAAAGCCAGTGAGGTTCAGAACACTGTTTTCAAGTACGTCTATCGTTCAAATTTCCATCTCCTTTCGGTTGTTGTATGGTTCATAACTCATCGTGGTTTAAATATATTGTACAACCTTCAAGTCATCAGTGTAACTTTTTTTTGTGTGACTTATTCAAGAGAAATGTTACTGAGTTTTAAGTATAAACCGCCACTGAGTTACTTAAACGGCTGACTGCAAAATTTACCAGCAACACAATGATGAGTTAACATTTGCGTTATTACGGTAACGGTATATCCCTATGTATATGCAATAAACATACTAGTGGTTTGAGATTAACAATCATTTCATCTTTTGTTTCTTAACAAAGAACGAAAGCACTTTCCAGCTCGGTTAGACATTCGGACAGAATTCGTACCGCCTGAATATGTTTTGCCCAATTGTGGTACAAATACCAGTCTGCCACTGCTTCCTTTGCACCCTTTTGATCGTGATGGAAAACCTGTTAAGTGTGTCCGCCAACTCAATTACAGTAACTGGAACCCACCACCTCCTGCTAGAAGACTACTGGGTGACCTGGTGTACCTATTTTTCCATACACTTGAAGACAAAAGATACCATATCACTGCTTGTCCTAGAGGATTTTATGTGAATATGTAAGTCGAGGTTTTCTTTACTGCATTCAGTCTACCGTCTAATACTTCATGGTTATAAAAATCTGCCTAAGCTTGTAATTATAAATGTTGCTTGACAATCACATTCGTAGACTGCATTCATGATGGATTTGACGCCTAATTATTTGAAGTACATTGTCAATCTGTTTTACATTAATGTTCATTTTACTCAGAAAGTGTGCATAACTTAGTTTTTAATATGATTTAAAGTGTACATTTTCCACATGCGTTTCTTGCACAGTAGAACCTGTTGTTATTTTCTTCTCATTTCCGAAATGTGTTGCTCGAACACTGACCCACTTCAAGGTAATGGACCCTATTGACCACTTTACTTCCCTAGTGGTAAGTCATACCAACTCGGGTTGATCGATGACTGGGAGTATCTTGGTGAGGATACAGAATGTTTGTTTGGTTTTCGCCAAAATTCTCTTTATGCAGTAGTGCATTCATTCAACTGAGTTTACATCTTATCCACGCGTTTTTTTCTATCATATTTAAAAAATATAGTCTCCAAAATTTCTGGATATATGAAGTGCACGTACTTAAATATTGTTGTCTTCACTTGTCTCGATCGTTAACTGCTACATTGACGTGGTGGTCGCGCTTGCATATTATAATGACTCAACAAACTATACTGCTGGAGCACTTCATCACCTAAAGTCCTATCTTACCAGAAAGGTGTGTTGGTTAGTGGTGAGATGAAAAGCAGTGCTAATTGCTGCTGTATGATGAGGGTTCGAAGGTGAATTCTTCTCCCTGTTGGGAACAATAAGGTGTTTCCCAAAGATGGTCGGCAGTACGAGAAACGAATTGAAACGCATTCAGCAACCTTGTGCATATTCATACAGTAGTCAATGAGCCACATCTATTGTATGAGGGCTAGTAATACTACCTGGCTGCTCAAATCTCAGTAAGTGGGGCGGGACTCGAACCTACGACTTACTGGTTTATAGCTATCTCCCTAAACCGTTGGGCCATAACTCCACTGCACTGATTTCCAGCAGTACCATGCTGATGCTGCCTTTCTTATGGGAATGGGAAGGGGTAGGAACGGTTGGTCACGAAAATGGCACACCCTTCTATCATGTAGTATTTCGGTTCTGGGAGTATGGATTTTCTAACTGGATTCAAAACAAAGGAAGTAAAACCTAGGACTTCAAAAAATGTAGGTATAATGGATCTTGAGCAAACGCCCCTTGGGCTGTGGTCACTTCAAGAAGTAACCTCTCACGGTATGGGGAACCGGGAAGGGTCAACCACCCTAACAATTCTATCAGCACTCAGGTTTTTTCAGATCATTATCAACCTTCAGCGCCTTAGCTGTCTAATCTTTCCGTGAGATGTCAGTTGAAGACGTAAACCTTCATTGACTGAGGTGACTGGGACGTGTTATACGCATCTAGTCGCCGTCTACTTCGTCGTGTATTGTTAGTTGCGGTAGGTTCAGGCTGGAAAAGTCAGAGATGGCCAAACTAAAGCTTGGCATCAGTTCATGAAGTCTGACTATCGGCCTGAGCAGGTCGGAGGAAAGCAGACTTCCCGGTGGGGTCCGTGTGACAACCGAAATTGGTGATTGGAGACCTCATGTAGAATGACTCAGAATCGGTCTCAGTGATGCAGATGTATCCACCACATTATCCTCATCTTCTCGTCATACAGAGTTTCATCATTGTTTCATTCCTTCTTGTTTCCTTTTCATGACTTCGAACGAAAGTCAGCACTTTCACACTACTTAAACCGACGAACGGCGCATCTTGATTTTCATTACACCAGGGCTTCTTCCACTCGACTATTATCCCATCTAAGTTGTGTTGACGCAGGTAACGAATAAGTAAGTGGTTTTTAACCTCATCAACTGAAGTATTTCGTCCGTGACCAAAAATATAAAAACGAAATTATTTTTACATGTCCACTTTGTGCCGGATGGTCCCAAGAGATGTATTCAAAACAGAGTTTGCGTTTTTTCTACATCCAAGTTTCACATTGTTCATTAGTAGTCCCACTAAGCACAAGTAAAGACAATCAGTCAATTCCAACATGAATCCTGGGATTTTGCTTAACGGTCCAAGTTGTCACGTGTCATGTCAACACATCAAGGTGAAAGGCGCCAGGATGAATGATGTAGAAATATGAAGGGAATTATTCAAAGTGCCGGTTCAGACCAACAGTGAAATACTTCATGGATTGAAGCCATGTTTTAGTCCGGTTGTTCATAACTTTTTGCGAGCCTAACCTTACTACAGCTAATTTTGCACGATGGGATATACAGTGACTAGGCATATATGGAGTTAGATTGGAAGAAAGTTTAAATTAATTATATCAAAATACAGTATCAATATGTAAAGTCTAATTGTTGTTTGGATCCGTTAAGCTTCCAGTTTAGGGTTTAGGTGACAAATCTAAGTGATATGTTTCGAAATCCATCGCTGTCTTGCTGATGCATCCACCCGTCATCCTAACTGTTGTATGATATTTCATTATTTAATTCAGTCCCTCATTTCACTTAATGGTTTTTATCATATTTCTATTTATTCAACTTCTAACTTGTGTCATGATATGTCGTTATACTATGTGGCAACTTTGTATATTAGTCTTAGTAATTCCTGATCCTGACTTTGGTGTTGAAATTTTGTCGATACACTTATTTTCCCCGTTATTTATTCTTGTGTGTGGTTAGATTCAGTTGTTTCTTCACTAAGTTGCAATATAATTAATTTTTTATTATTTTAGGTCCACAGATGATCAGTTCAATCCCCATCCAGTACAGCATGCTTATGTAGCACACTCTCTAATTGACCTGCTACGTCAGCTTAGTCCTGGCTTCAAGCGTAATTTGGAGACCCTTCTTAAAGCTCGAGCTGCTAAACATCCATTTGAACGTGTCCCAACTCCGTACCAAGTTCATTCGTGGTTAGCACCACTTGTCGAACATTCTCCAGACTCAGTGAGGAAAGAAGAAGGTACGTACATACCAAATTAACTAGATCTTGATATGTTGGGTAATATATTTTTCCTCAAATCATGGTTAAATTTTTAAACCATCGTCCAGAAGCTCGTTCAAACTCGATCTAAACATTGAACGGAAGCGCACAGGTTCATGCCTGTTCCTTCTATTTCGTTTTATACCGCAAAATGATTTGGTTCACTGACACAAGGCATGTGTACGGCATATAATAAAGGTATATAAACAATTCACTATGGCTTCGTGGGCTCATGAAGTATGCTGCATTGCTCTTAACCTTCACTGTATCCAAAGTGAACTAGCTAGAGTGTTTAACTCAAAGTATTTGGTTTAAACTTATGGCTCACTATATGCCAATTCATTTTGAATGTAAATACTTTCTAAAAAGTTGTCTTCTCTTCATTTTATGGTTGTAATAATTTTAACGCGATTCATCTTTAAGATACCTAGTGTGTTAAGGTTTGTGTTATTTCTCATTCGCTCAGGCTGAAGTAAGTGGAGCAGGGTTTTGCCACACCCCAGTGGTTAACAGTCAACCTAGACTATCGAGACACGTCTCCACGTAACTGAAAACTAACTGATTAAAGGTTAGGTCCTTTAGCCCATGGGCCGTTGTAGTAGTGTTCTCTGCATTATCCAAAACGAGATGATGCAATGTAGATGAATTCTTACATTTTTTTATTTTACTATATTTGCTCTTTTCCCTAACGGGGCTGATATGTGATGTATCGACATGGCTGTAGTGCCTGCATGACCCGAAAAGCCATGATGATGAGGTCTTACTAAGAAAGCGTGTTGGTTGGTGGTAAGGCAAAAACCAGTTACCGTTATGATGTAAATTGATACGCTATGTTAAGGGTTCGAGGATGAAGTCAAACTGTTGGTCATCCATCCAAATCAACATAGGACCAAGCATTACTGCGTATCGGTCCGAGTTGCCACAGCTCATATCAGTATCTCGAGTAGAAAGGCATGAAGTGGAAGGTGAGGAAAGGGAAATCCAGTCAAAAGAGATATAAAGTACTCAAAGAGAAAGAGAGAGAGAGAGAGAGAAGAATGAGAAAATGTTGGGATTCGGTATAGCGTTAAGATAAGGATAATGTGTGTATACATCTGCACCACTGACATCGTTTCTGAGCCATATCGCCAGTCAAAGACTGTTGGTTGTATAGCATGTAACAGAAATAAATGATACATATCAAGTATTAAAAGTAAATTGAGTCTTATTAATTTGTTCTAACAGACTATCTTTTCTGCTTCCTGAATTCAAGCCACAATCACAGTTAAGTTTAAAGATCGGGCAAACAGTTATTAGCGTTAAGAAGTACTACCATATCACAGTCTGACCATTGGGTTAACTTGATATGTTAAGGCGCCAGCGAGATATGTATTCATGTACTAACTATGAGTATTATCTATTTTGTCGCGGTTGATAACCGTAACCTGTTACTCGCATCAGTGTAAGTTAAGTGATTTGGAATTAGCAACCCAATGATTATAAGTTGAGTGTCTGCACCGAACTCCCTTTGTCTTCGAGTGGATAGAGTGAATCAAATGTTACCACCCGTCCTGTTGCCACGATTCATAAACTGACTAACTGACTTTCATATAAAGTTTGCCTACTTGTAACTTAACTGGAAGTTCTAAAATGTGACCACTAAATTTTAGTCATTTTATTTCACGTGAAATAAAAATGGTTTCAAACGTATGATAAAACAGTACGATAATGGGATATATGCTCAACCCCTGGTGGATATTTGAATATCCCTCTGGTACCAGTGTTAGATAATGTTATGTAGGTTGTAAGTGAACTTTTACGTGTGTGAAAAATCTGTCAATGATTGCTGAATGAATCACTGGACCATAGAAGTGAAGGGTTTACACACTCAACTTTGAAGCACTATTTGGTGTTTGTTAGGTACAGTTTACATAAAAATGAGCTCATACCAAGTATTACCAGGTTTTTCTCTCATGGTTTTCGAAATTACAATGCATCACCTTTAGATATGTTAATGTTGTCTATATACTGTAAGTCCTACAGTGGAGTTTCAAGTGTGCTCGTAACAATTTGATATGGAGGAGGTGGAAATGATGAGAAAACCTTAATAATTATTGCCTGCTGGATTGAGTGTTTAGAGAATATACTGTTTAGAATAAGTAATTCATAAATATCTTATGGTTGTTTGTTATTGTTAAGCCATGTCTCAAGTTAGTATTATCAAAGATAACCATTTATCAAAGTACAACAGTGAATGCTATCCTGATGTTGCATGATATCTTATTCATTGTGTCATGAAAACGGTGTTGCAGTCAAAGTTTTGTGGATCACTAGAACTTTATCTGAAGTAGTTGTCACATGAAAACTCATTCCATTTGACTTGAAAAATAATGGGAGAAGATGGTAGCTTGAACGTGAATTGGTTAAAAGTTTTCAACAGGAGGGATAAATGAAATAATGATAGGAAAGGAAAACTCCTCGGAATTGGTTGGTAATAATCAGACGTAGTTCAGGTTCACCTAGAATAAAATTGACTGTTGATAAGATTCATCGAAGAAAAGTACATAACAACAAACTTTTAAAACAGGTAGCTGGACTTCTGCGGATGAAATCTCGTTTTTAACGGATTCTCAGTTAGTCCATATCTCAACAATCATAAGAGCACAGCATTCACTTCACTTTTTCTTGTCGAGACTCAGAAGGATGCCTCAAGGCTATAAAATAGGACAAAGCTGCCAGATTTGTCTTTTCACCTTCAAGCTGCAGGTGATGAGTCACTCATCTTACTAAGGTTTAAGCTGAAACATCGAAACCTGAGACAGCTCATCTCAGTCATATCGATTGCTGATTATCCCAGGGCTAGGTGACAAGATTTCATCCTTAGGTTTTGGGACATACTCAAATCGAGTGCTTTATGAAAGTGATCATATTTCTGTATCCAGTGATACATTTGGCGTAGTCACCAGAGACGGTCTTGTGGCAGTATCTGGTCTGAAAGAAGTACAGGTCAGGCGTACCATATTATAGGGCAACATACCATACATTCTGGTGGGACTATTCTACTCGTAAAATGAGTGTACTTGTCGCTCATACATTATGAAAGTTATTGGTCAATGTATGTTCCTCGTCAGTAAGCTTATCAGTAACAAAATTCTATTCACTATCCTTGTTGTCCCATTCATGCAGTTTTCCTTCAGCCACACCCTTATTTAGAACTATTCAGACTTTAAAATGAATCGAGATATGTAGATATTCATTCAAAATGATTTTATATGAGCGTTACATCATAAGTGATGATAAAAATCGGATTGCTTCATGTTGTATGAATGCAATTTCTACAACAGATGTGGACTGTTTAGATTCCAAAAATTCGATGCTTCGAACCCAGCCAGCTTTTTCTAGGATTGTTATTAAAACTAAATTTTATCGGATTCAGAGGATTCCTAGATGCTCTGAGAATGTAATGTACCTACTATTTCTGCGGCAGTCTCTAGTGAAAGGCTGATATCTGCCCACATTTTGTGAAATTTGAGGATAAGCACATCTGTTGAAAGTTATGCTCTCGACATAGTTCACTTAAACACTATCACTAGAATACATTACAAAAGAGACAGGAAATATAGGGAATGGTGAGTGTTACTGTTAGTAGTTTATAATGGAAAATGGAAACTCAAGTTCTTATTAGTGCAAAAGACCCTACATGCGCTTCTAGAAATAGGATACATCATCCAAAATCACTCCACACAACGATAATTTGTAACATTCGACCTTAAGACTAATGAACATAGAGTAATTCTTATTTCTACACTAAAGCAACGATTTTTCTAGGCGCAGTATTATCAGTTTATATGAGCTTGCCTGTATTATCCCGTCGTTGATTGGATCGACTGTACTCGTTGCATAAAAAGTGACTTTCGTGACTCGGTGGCCTGGTGGATAACGCTCTGGGAATTAAAGCGACCGGTCCCGGGTTTGAATGTCAGTGGGAACAACATTGCTCACTGGGGTGAAGGTACATCCAGCTGACGAGTCCCGAATAGGACAAAAAGCGCATTCTGAACTCTATTGCTAACCAGTATCCATCGTTAAAACTAACAGCTGTTGATTGTTAAAACGGTTCGCCTTTTAATATATGTGGATCAGTAGCTTATTGGTTTGGGGAGATAACTTTCAACCGATAGGCCACGGGTTCGAGTCCCGCTCCACCTACTTCGGTTCGGGCAGCTAGGTAGTATCATTGGCCCTCACATAATAGGTGTCGTTCATTACCTACTGCGCAAATTTGCACAAGGCTGTTGAGCGTGTTATTATATGTTTATATTTTTAATGTAGGTATATTGAGTCGATTTAGCGTAACAATTTTTCTCTGAAAATTTATCCGACAAATAGCATTTTCTTCTCGTATGGCATGTGAAGAAAACCTACCTGGCCAAACAAGGGATTGGAATGAGGAACTACAGGTTACACGTGAACTCCCACAGACACGTCTAACAGAACGTCTACTTAGAGATCGCGCTATCTTCAAATCAAACAGTGATTTTGTAGCTGCGGCAACTCGTGCTGCTGTCAGCGTTGTAAACGGAGACATTATGGCCATCAATCCTGGAGAGACACGAAAACAGCAAATGTTTATATGGAACAATATGTTTTTCTCATTAGGCTTCGATGTCAAGGATCACTACAAGCATTTTGGTGGTGGATATGCCGCATATGTAGCCACAGTAAGTCGTATTTCTTAAGTCACATTGAATATTTATATGGTTTATATGTGTAGACTTACTTGATCTTATTCAGGTGGTTAGTTTTATCTGTGTCAGGTAACATATAAGAAATAAATGCCTTTGGCGTAGAATTTCGTGAAGTTGTAATCACTTCATTTCAGTTTGGCTGCAAAAAATGTCTACAACACTTTAGAAATCTAGTAGCTAGATAAATAACTGGGAAATTAGTGTTCGTAAATGCCTGAGAATGTTTTAGCATACTGTTACATATTCTTTCGATATAGTAAAAGCCATCACTCAAGATATGATTTCTTTTCTCTTCTGAAGTGTTGAAATTGTCAGTGACTGGCTATTGACGTAGTAACACCATGTTTACTGCGCTACAGAATACTATAGTTTCGTTAAAGAACAACAGAAAACACTTTTAAAAGTCAATAATCAACCATCTTCTACAGCTTTCAAACCATCTGCCTAAAAATATCACCTAAGTCGATTTACAGAAAACTTATAAAAATCGTAAGGTTGTAATGTAAATATTGTGTACCGTGAAATTTATACGGTGTAAAGTACTATGGATAAAAAATCTCATGCCACGTTGATTTGGTCATTAGGTCTTTTTCAGTTTCCATTTTCTACAATGACATCTTCTGTGGTCGAAACCCCACTAGCTACAAGTCGACATGTAAATCAGGTGATTTACTGGTCGTAGTCCCTGACTTCCAACTAATTGGGTTGTGGGTTAAAACCTATTGATCACCCTAGTAATATCACCAATCCTAACGCATGGATTAATTCATGAACTAGAATCTAACTCTGAACAAGGTTGCTAGAAACTTGAGTAGCGTTAAAATAAAAGTTGGTTTTTGTTTTTTCAAGAGTAGACTTCATTCTCCACCTCTGTATGGTGAACAGTATGCAACACCACACAATTGCTGTGTGGTGTGGTCTTTTTGACGTTGACCAGTTAGTCAGGTTGTACATTGACATGATCTCCATTCTCAGAACCTTGTTTTAGCCCATCTGTGTTAGTTACCTATCTTACAAATGAAGATCACTGTTTAAGGCAGATATCTGTTTCAGATAAAGATATTTGAAGCTTGATCATTATTTTCAGAATTGTCCTCTTATCTGCCTAGCGCCTATTCGGTCAGCTATTTCTTATTTCTGATAATTGCAAATGCAAATCGGTGGTCAGCGATGTTCCCTTTTAACCTTCCGTAACTTATCGCTTCATTTACTACCATACAATATATCACCGGTAAACGCTGCACATGGTTCGTCCACACATTTATCCCTCTAGGGAAGTTCTATGCAAAAACCTAAGTTTTATATCATAGTATAGTGCCCCCTCCCTACCAAGTGCGGCTCATAGTACATTATATGTACCGAATTAAGTTATATGTGTTTCCCCAACTTTGATAATAATTCTGTGAACTATATTAAGGTATTTAGCATTGTCACTTCGAAAGGTGTGCTTCAGCCTAGTATGAAAGGAAACACCTAGTAAAGTCAGTAAATCGGAGTAGGAGTATGCGTTTTTAGCATTCATTCTAAAAATGAACGAACTTTCCCGCAACCAGTTCAGTCCTTGTACAACGTTTCTTTTACGTATTATATAAACTATTTAGTCATCAGGAGCCCCTGCTTCATTGGTGAATTTTCTTAACTGCAATACAAATTTTGTTAAACTTCCTAATCTTTATTATTTTTTTTTCATAGTCCAGTGATCTATGCGGAGTGCGTGCCTATTCTATGTTGGATCAACCAGGACTTTATACACTTGGTACGGCTATAGTAGATTATCGTGGTTTCCGTGTCACAGCTCAGACGATTATACCAGGTGAGATTCACAGTAGAATCAAACAATGAGAGACTAAGATTTACGATAATGAACAAAATAAGAAGATACTCATATTAACCGACACGTTTTGTTGCTGACATTAGAGTGCACTTAATAGAATATAGTCTGTCTTCTTGTTTAAAGTTACTCTCTTTAGTAGTGTACGTAAACAGGTTCTAATAATTCTGATTAACTGTGTGTGTCGGGGGGGTATACCATAAAATGGATGAACTTCTTTGTTTTTAACTTGGATAAACAATTTTAGTTGTCAAAGTGAAAAAAAGTTTTATTATTCTAGGGACAAAAATGCACCCTGAGATTACATGGATAGTATTAACCTAGTTTTTAACGTAATACATTTTAGGAGTGAGTTGGGTGTTTATAAAAGGAAGTTTTTCGTGACCCGCTGTACTTAAGTCTAATATAGCTAGGTGGAGAGAGAGATTAATTACTGAATCTTTGTTCATCGAATCGACACCCAACACATGTAATAGGAATGACGCAACACCTATACCAGAGATATGGAAAACTTTACTACCAATCAAAAAACAAAGAGAGATCAGGTGACAGGACTATAAAATCAGATATCGAAAGAAGTGTGATTACATTGATATGATTATGAGCAATAATTTATGCTCGAAACGTAATCAAGTAAATAATACTGTATCACTGTGCACTTTATATCAAATAAACAAATCTAATGTGGACTTACATTCTACCACAGTGCCCAAGTTTTTCACTTACACATAGGGGTATGTTTGACTACTATCACTCTTATAACTTTAGGATCGATCATCATTCAATCTCGCATTTTTCGAAGCAACTAAAGGGAGTTCAATGCATATATGGATGTCATAATTAGATTTTCACATATTACTTCTCATAATGAATAACAGCATTCTGTTCTAATACGCAAGTGTAGCTCATAGCCTAGAGCATAAACTTGTGTTGGATTGATTCGCACTAAGTTTGAATCAACCTGCTTAATTGTAATTATTCTACCGACAAAATTTAGTTGGTTTTAGCCAACATATCCTGTGAGCAACATTGTTGTGAAAGTCATGCATATTGGAGTTGTGCCAAGTAGATTTGTTGTGTTTGTTGGAAAACTGTAAGATGGGATCGCCAGTGTTTCTCTTCCAACTTTCTCAGACTTTCAATAACATGTGGTAAGTTGTTCGAATATTTATCAGAGATATATTTACCATCTGATATCATTACTTACCGTGACTGTCTCGCAGCAATACCAAGTGTTGTGCTTTGTTTTTAGTTTCTTGAATACAGTACTGTGGTCAGTTTTGTAGTGTTTATTTCGTAATTATATAACTCATATTATTGCTTGTATTACACCGTCGTTGATTGGACCGAATTGATCAGAAATGCGCATCCTGGATTCCACTGCTAGCCACTGCCCATCATTACTAAACAGGCAGTCAGACAGTAACATTGACGTTTAATTCAATAAATGTGGCAAATAGGAAAGTGTATGAATTGAGTCATCTTTCTTCTGGGTATCCTTTTTTGTATTTGTTCAGGTAAGAGTGTGATTGTAGAATCTGTGGCATTATTTAACCATTCATTGTTTACTGAACTCAGGTTCGATTATTCTTTCTTTGTAGGTTGCTTATTTATGCATTAAGTTAGTCTTCTACGAAGTGTATCAGCATAATTTTTGACCATCCAGTAATTCCCCTTTTTTAGAGCATTCATGTGCACAGATTGTCCAAGAACTGCAAACAGTAATCCATACGTTGCTCATATATCTCATTGTATATAGTAGTTTGGTTATTCTGTTTTAATTTCTTGTATTTTAAGGTATTTTGGAGAAAGAACAAGAACAATTAGTTGTGTATGGTTCAATCGATTTTGGGAAAACCGTGTTGACAGACAAACGTTATGAAGAGCTATTGTCCAAAACTGCTAAACAGTTGAAGATCAAATCGCATAAGTGAGTATTGCATTTAATTTTTTAAATATTTTAACTAGGCGCTTCTGTTTAGTAATATAAATAAAAGGTTTCCATAGTGCCTGCATTTTTTGATTGTCACAATGTAAAACTTTTTCATGTGTTACTTGAAAGAAATACATTGCTGAGGATTACTGCTGCATAATGGATACCACTAGTTAGCATAAGTTTGTGCTAGATCCTGTAATTTTAGTTCATTTCTAGTGAACATTTTGGAGCCCAATGGTAACAAAGTTGTTATCGTCGAAACTGAAATGTTCGAGCCATTTATGTTTGCGGTTAATTAGTTAAAATAAAGGGTCACTTTTCCCTCCAACAGAAGACATATTTCTGTATATCTGTCGTATATATATCTCTATGTATGATTAGATACAACCATTATAACAAAGTAGCATAGGCCGTGTCGTTGTGTCACTACGTCAGTAGCTGTGGCTCATTGGTTAAGGGAAATGACTTTCAACCGATGGGCCACTGGTTCGAGCCCTGCTCCATCTACTGAGGTTTGGACAGCCAAGTAGTATCGCTAGCCCTTGCTCAATACGTGTGGCTCATTGTACAGCGTTGCTGAGTGCATTTCTATTTGTTTTCGACGTCAGTAACGCACAAGTCAGATGTTGTGAACCTTCATCGATAGAGATGGCTTGGACATATGTTAGACATGCCTAGTCACCATTTACCTCATCGTTTAATGTTCATTGAAGATACTTTCAAGCTAGAAAAAGACTCGGGGCGACCAGACTAAAACATGGAATCATTACATGAAATCTTTAACTGTTGTTTTGAGTCATGTTCGGATGTAGACTAGCCGATCGCGGCCCAAGCGATCATAGAAACCAGTGGTTGAAGACTGTAGGTGTGATATGGCTTAGAATCAATGACCACCGTACACTTTATCTTCATCTTAACTGCTACACTGAGTTCATCATTTTCTCCTTTCATCTTACTACTTTGTTTTATATATATATATATATATATATATATATATATATATATATATATATATATATATATATATATATATATATATATTTCTATCCACTGTCTGTTCCCTCAACGGCATAAGTCTAAGGTTTTGAAGCTTTTTGATGTTTCTTGACAAGCGTTTAAAAACTTAGTAGAATGCGAAGATTTAGTTCATTTATCATTAATTTCTTATTTTAGGAGTTATCTCTTTATATAGATTTTGGATACCCTCTCGTTTATTATAGTTGGCGGTGTAAAACGCATTTCTCTTATTCATAATTTCAATTTACAGAGTGGTAGATCAATCAGGTGAAATAGTAGAGTTATACTCATCTGTGGATTGTAAAGGTATTGTTGGAAATGATGGGCGTACATATATTCTGGATTTATTGCGTACTTTCCCACCAGATTTGAATTATTTGAATAATGGTGATGATATACGACCACAGTTGTCTCCTGAGTTGACGAAGTTGGGTTATCCTTATCAACACCGGCATATGTTGGCAACTTTAAGACAAGAGTTGATTGAAGCATTTTTCGAGTAAGACTTCATAATGTTTATTTATTATTGATATATAATTTTTATAGTTTATGTGATCTAAAAAACCCGTCTGTGTAGCTTTTTACTTTTGGTACATCTCAAAAATGGGTTCTTCATAAGTAACGCATGGTTATTGGTGGCTAGATACTTGGTTGATGAATCTGCAAATGTTTCTTGTTCCTAACATTCAGTAAGTAATAGTGTTATTGCTTGTATTATGCCGTCGTTAGTTGGAACGAATTGATCGGTCTCTATTGGCATATAGGCTCCTGTGCAGATGCCTCGATTTACTTGTGTTCTGATTGTAGTAAAGATAGATAGTGGCTAGCAGTGGAATCTAGGACGCGCATTTCGTCCTATTTGGGAGTGAGCTAGATGTACTTGCCTTCCAGTGGGTGATGTGTTCCCCCAGGGATTCGGACTCGGGAGTGATCACTCCAAACGCCAGGGCGTTATCCACTACACCACCGAGCCACGATAACCACTTTTGTGTGACGGGTATAGTTTTAGTATTATTGCTTGTATTATACCGTTGTTGATTGGACCGAATTGATCGGTCTCTATTGGCATATGGGCTCCTGTGCAGATGCCTCGATATACCTGGATTCCACTGCTAGCTACTATCCATCTGTACTATTCAATAAGTAAACTTATTTTTCTGCACTCTCGATGACTGTATAGTGAAGTCTTTGATCTAGATTCTTGTGTTTTGTCTATACTTGTCACCAAGTATGCGTTGTATCCATGTACTTAATTCAGGAAAACGCTAGAGTATAAAAACGTATTAAAATTGCCTACATCTAACCATCTATTGGGAACAAGACAGAAGAAACATTGTAAGATGTCCGGATATTTGTCAGTCCCAAATTCCTAGTTTGGTTAAAGCAACTGTGTACAATCAATTACACTTCCTGTGTATTCAGGCTGATGTTAGTACATCGCTAACTCAACCGGAGTCTGAACGTGTGATGCATTGGTTGGAAGTCAACTGTTAAGACAGGTTACCAGTAGCTCGCTCCACTATTTTACTATTACATAATTTTCTAAATTTTTTACGCCCGTTGAGATCGCTATTTACAATCCTGTTTAAATTACTTTTATTGCACCGCGGAAAAGAACCTTGAAGACTTGGATTTCGCCGATGACTTGTATCCGATGTCACACAAACTTGAAAATCTACACGCGAAAACTAACAAGTTGACAGAATAGGTGAGGCAGCGAAGACGGGACTTCAAGTGAATATACAGAACACACACGTGATGAACATACACAACCAACACCATCACCACCACCATCAACAACAACAAACTCCAATCACCATCAACAACAGAAACTTAAAGGAAGTAACTGCCTTCACCTATCTAGGCAAAGCAGCATCGTTTCAACTACAGGCGGTGGCGCCGACGGCGGCGGCACACACGAGGACGTCAAAGCCACCAGGATCAGAAATACAGCAACACAGGCATTCATTAACCTGAAACCAGTGTGGAGATCGACTGCAATGCACTGCACTCACCATAAAGTGTGAACAACATCCAGATTTTGAACACCAACACCAGTCAAGTCAGTGTTTCTGTATGGCTGACAGACTTAGCACGTTACGAAAGGCATTTCCAACAAACTACAGATATTCATCAACAACTGCCACCTACACTGGCTGGTTACTGAAGATGAGATAGATGGCCAGAATAATAAGAATAAGCAACAAGGAACTCACTGTGGCTAGCTGGCTGGCTGACTGGTTGTCAACGAACCAACCAAAAACCTATCACTCAACAAATATGCAGTGGAAGGAAGTGGAGATGGATGGGATTGGGCATACAGTGAGAAGACCGACTGGGGATATAACTCGTCAGGCCAGTCGCTCGAGTGGAAGCCAGATGGGAAATGGGGAGTCGGGCGTGAGAGGGGAGGGTGACATGGAGGAGATGGTGTGAGGAAGAAATGAGAGGTTGTGGACTGTCGTGTAACTAAGTTGAAAAGATTTGAGAGAAGAGAGTGGAATAGAGACGTGCTACTGAATCCTTATGTTCCATTAGGAACCCAAGGGACAAATAATATGAATAATAATATCGACAGGTGCTTATATTGTCTTTGATGTTGATTGTCTCAGTGAGATCATTTGAGTTTTACAAAATAATAGGATGCACAAAAAACCATATATGGTTGACTGTCACTAAATTACTTTTATTTTAGACATCTAAATCCTATTGAATCACTATGAATGCTTTATTCTATGTATAGCTCTGTCTACTCTATATTCATAAACTGCTTCATACAATCTATTTGTGTTCGGTCACTTTCATCATGGAAAATAGCTATATTCGTCTAGAAAACAGATTAAATTCGATTTTAATTAGTGCACACATCATTTTTATTTCTAAGTTTGTTCTTCTATAGTCTCATATATATATAAATTAATTGACTCTCTTCACCACTAATTATGTTTTTTTCTTTTTAAGCTACCGTTATGAGATATTTTTACGTCTAGCTGCTCAAGAAATACAAAAGATGAAAATGTCTCTAAAATGTGAATCTGCTGATCAGGTTAGCAAAATTTATTTTACTCAGTTTTTCATCCTACTCATCTGCTTTTTTTTGTCATTTAATTTCACATTATATACGATGAATTGTTTTCCTTTCTAACTGTATTGGTAAACATTGCAATATTTACCTGTTATTCTGAAGTCGTATGTTCTAATGTGATATTTGACCTTGTACTCTATGAAAGTTTGACTAATATCATATCGAAGATCCTATGCTTATCCGATGCTTAGCTACAGTTCGAAAATGACAAACTCGAGAAAACCAGGTAGGTTTCAGATATAGCTAGACTAGGGTGTATCGACCGTATTTCAACCCTCTAACAGGTTCAGGAACACACGTATACTTATCGACCGATGGCCGATACTTGCCATATATCTTGACTTGAAGGCAGCTTTGGACTCTGTCGAATGTGAGGTGTTGTGGCAGTGTCTGACTGTCAGGGTAGTACCGATTAAGTTTATAACGCTAATCAAAGCTGTCTACTCGAACTCACGCAGCTATTTTAAAGCTTATAGAAAGTTTCTGAATTAACAACAATCAGTGTTGTCCAGCAGACCTTTTCACTATCACCGTTCCTATTTAACTTCGTTACAAACGTACTAATGGACATACTTAGGAATATCTGAATTCACAGGGATTGATCTACTTTTTGGATATCATATGGTTGACCCAACTACTTAACACTGTAGTTGATAGACATTTAAATTCTATCAAGCAACTAGCTACAGTAATTTTAACTGACAATGAGCATCACTTCATTCATAGCTCTCTACTTGTATCTCAGGGAGGACAAGAAGAAACTACATAACACTGTACGCTCGTGTGGCCAAGTACAAGAAGTCAACTGTACCTTACCTAAGACGCATATTATTTTAGGAGAAACTGTTAGAACGGAACTCACATATCAACTTTGTAACAGTTAACAATCTCATTTCAATAATTTAATTAACAATGTACAAAATGTTCTCGTTATTAATGTTCTTTACATTACTTAAATTTCTATGACAGCGGAATTCGAAATGTTGTAAAGAAGTATATGCATACATATATTTTCTTGTTGTTGCAGTGTATCATTCTGAGAATTCCAAATTGTATTGTTAGAAATAATGTGAATATAATAATTATCATTATTATTAGAGTATGCCGACGGTATTGTCCTGCTAGGTGAGATAGGCTGACGCAATACAAAGTCTTTTGAACTCGTTGAACAGAAGTGTGAATATGTTTGACATTAGCTTTGCACTGTGAAACGTAAGATTAATGCCTCGAGACTGGTGTGCAACTAATCCGAGTTTAATGATAGAGGGTGAAGTGTTGGAATATATCGACCACTCTACCTACTTGAAGAGTTAAATGAGCCGAAAGGGGTGGTTGGTGGCGAAATTTCACGTAGGATACAGAAAGAAGAACTGTTTGATACTTGCTAACTCGCGTCATGTATGCTGCCGACTGGGAAGATATCAAACTGGGGTATTAAAGGATGCATATACTAACTACACTGCAGTTGATTCTGTACTTTTGTACGGCTGTGAGACATAACCGTTAGAAGCAGAAGAGATGAAGAGGTTGTTAGTCTTTGACGATAGATGTCTTGGAAGGATTGCTCACATATAGTGCATGAGGATGTGAACCATATTGTGGTCAGGTGAGGAGGAGTCCTAGACAAGGCTGGTAAGTCTATTGATGATGTTGTGAAGCCTGATCAACTGAGATGGCTTGGATATGTGTTGGGTGGGCATACTGAGGTTACCGCCTACTTCAAGGTGGTATGCTGCAAGAATTTGTATTAGACTAGAAGGAGGTTGAGGGTGACCGGAAGAGGAGGTGGTACCAGTCAATGAAGTCTCTGACTGTTAGTTTGAATTGTGTAGGGAAGTGTGAGGTACCTGGCTGAAGTCTCTGAGATGATAAGAATCAGTGATTGAGGACTCTTGTTGAGGCAGCCGAAAATCGGTTGTAATGGCGCAGATGTATTCACTCCTTGATTTCTTCTGAAGCTTGAATGTTTGCACCAACCTGTACCTCCAAATCGTTTATTTTCTCATACAACTTTGTCTATTTTGATATCACTCTTTTCCTATCCACCTTTTCTTTGTGTACTACTGTGAAGTGTGGCAACTTGAGTCGATTGACTTGTATGCAAGGTTCTACGTTGACCAGCTGTCTGTCTATGAAGGTGTAATTCATAGTACTTATTTTAAGTCTTGGCAATCATACATATGTAGCAGATTTGACTATATACTGAAAAGAGCTAAGTTAGTTGAATTCGGTTCATTGAATACGACATAGTATTTATTATACACGCCTCCAGTGGCCAGTTTTCTTTAGACACTAATCATAGAAAAGGAAACTTTCCTGTATGCCTTCACAAAGAAGAAAAAAATCTTTGGGACTCTTTTCATGAAACATTTAACTCTTTCTTATCATTCTGTTAATTTGTACACTAATTTTGTTTAAATGTTGACAGGTATATTTGTTATCCTTCTAAACACATAATTGTTAGTTGTTTTCTGATATCACTGCTCGTTAACACAATTTAATTATAACATCTTATAGGAGATTACTCTCTTCTATTTATATTTCAGGTTGTTGTTTGCATGCTAAATGGAAAGTCTGATGAAGATCACCTATGTTCACATCAAGACAATCTAGTTTTAACGAAGCATCGGATTGATCCTGATACATCTGAACATTCCAATAATACACTGAACTCAGGAATTGCTGCAATAAAATCTCCGTGTAAGAATCAACCTGATGATTTAAGTCAGATGAAAAAATTGTTAGAGGATGATACTGGTGGTCAAAAAGGTATCTATTTGATAATGATTTGTTTGTTGTTATTTTTAGTAACGATTTAATTGGTTTAATTCAGCTACGTACGTTTTATATTTTGAATAAGTTTTACCATGTACTTACCAAATTTTATTAATTTGACTTTTTCTACTCATCATTTAGGTGATATTGTTCAAGAAGCAATTCGCAAAGCGGCTATAGCTGTTGGCTCCTTGAGTACAGATCGTTTTGATCTAACCTTCAATCCAGATATTTATCAGAAATTTGTCAAATTCAGTGATTCAGATGTAGGCGTTTTTAGTTGTTTTTATCGCATTCATGTAAAGGGATTTTAAGTGAATACTATTCCTGTTGTTGTAGTACCACAGTCAGTTATTGCTTATCTTCATTATCTTCATATAATCAGTATATGCAGTAGGAATTGCCATATGTTGTTAATGACGCTGGCCTTCTAGTCATGTTAAGTACATTTGCTTTATTCATATGATTTGATAGCTTAGTGGAAAACATGGTCTTGCCGATGGTATTGCATCATTGTATTAGTTATACGTATGTAATTAGTGTCTGCACAACTGCAGGTAAAATTGTAGTTGAAATATGAAGTGGGATTTCTCCCTTTAATAGTTGGTACTGGGAGGGGAAAGAAATGCGGCGTAGAACGTGCATTTTATAGTCCACCCGAAGCTTCTGATCTCTCAGATGCATAATCTGTTCATCCTTGTATAATGGTTTAGTGAGAACGGCTTTCTTTTTTACAGGAGTAGCAAAACGTTTCGAATACTTCCAATCAGGGTGATTTGTCCACATTAAAATTAAAAACATGATTAAGTAACTCGTTAACCATATGCAATTCTATTGACTAGATAGACCTTTTGTTGTGAGGTTTAATGACTCCACCGTGTTGTTCAATCATCGCAATGTGAAATAAGGATCCAAGCAAGGAAGCTTTGGTTAAAAATAACGTGTGTTAGCCTATGGGCCACTACTGCATGCGTGAGTAAGCTTCCATCTTTCTATTTGGAGTCTGTCAAAATTTGTTTAATGGAGTTTCAACCTATTGTAATTTGTAGTGGGCGTTGCTGATAAGAATGGATATAAGTAGTATATATTGAGAGGGTGGCAGAAATCATAGGGAATTACCAGCAATGGAATGTGTAAGGATTCTGCCAAGAGACAACGTAGGCGTATGGAAAGTAAATCAAGAGAGAAGCAGAAGAGGAAATGAAGCACATTTTGCAAATGGTGGTTTTAGTTCAAAGTGTACCATATTTAACGACTACTATCCCACTCCCACTATCTCACTCCTTCCTTCGTATCTGTCTTCTTACTTCTTTCAGTTCCAGCAATTTTATTGGTCACTATCCTTATCCAATCTTATGTCTATATGATAAACAACCAGAATCATTGTCGGTGGGGATTCTTCTTATCACTACTATGAAAACATCTAGCATATTTCTACAGTACAGGTTTTACATGTGTCTAGCTTACACAACGTTTTCACATATTTCTTTTATAGGAGGAGTCTTTGAAAGTTGATCAAGAACTAGTGTGCAGTGCTTGTGAATTCCTTGTTGTAAAGCAAATTCCAGCCTTCATTAAAGATGCCTTAAATTTATGTGTTACTCCGCAAGATGGTAAAGCGTTAACGGAGTTGATGCATCAGCGGTAAGTGACCGAATTCTTTGTCTGTGTATACTCTTTTTATATCTATTTTCCTATTGCTTTTATAGTTTGAAGCATATCTGTATCGGACGTCTTTGTTTGGTTGACGAAACAACCTCCTAAGATGATGCTATAGCCAGTTATTATACTTCTTTGTTTTTCCAAAATAATCTTTTTTGAAGTGGTCAGTAAAAGTCTTTTATAGTTGACTTCTTATTGGAACATTGACACTTTATCGCTGTTTGTCACAATTCAAAACTGAATGATATTATGGTTCTCCAGGTGCACCGTCTAAGTAACACATATGAACCACTGAGATTTATTTATCCTGTCTTCCGGTGTATGCCTATGAAGTATGTTCTTTTCAATCTTTAACCAGTGGTATGATTTCAATACATGAAAGGTTTAGTTTTGAATAGTTATTGTCTTTTAGAATCTTTTACTTTTCAGTAAGAACATCAATCACTATTCTTGTTATCTACATTATTCGATTCGCCATCCTATCTGTGTCTGAATCTGTCTTAGTTCACAATATGTTCTAGCACTATCACTATCGTCTATACTCCAAGCCTTAGTTAATTTTCTACTAAAATGGAAATATTAGTTTTGAAGTAGTAACAGAATAGAATTAATACAGCTGTATTGACAGACTCCCATTTAAGAAGGCTCGTATGATAACGATAGCACCTTAGAATGCCAACTCACTACCACTTTAAGTAAAGTTGCGCTTAAATGAATGAATTTTTAATATATATTTAAGCAATTAGATGACTGATGTCTCGAAGATGAAAAAATGAACGCACTCAGCAGTATTAATCACATTTGTGCAGTAGGAAATAAACCACACCTATTGTGGTAGGACTAATGATAGATACTACCTAGCTGCCTGAAAGTCTTGGTGTGTGGACGGGGGGGGGGCGGCTCAAACTTGTAACCCATCAGTTGAGCCTTTCACTTCCCTAAACTAGTGATCTACGGCTGCACGACTGATATCTAGTATATTTTAAGGTGATAAACGCACTTGAAAGATGCTAAGACGTTGTTTTTTTTTGTTTATTCGCATGCATTACTGTACATCTTTCCTGAATATTTAATCAAATTTTCTTTCAACAGTGGTATTAATGTGCGTTACTTGAATCGTGTAATTGAGTCGGTCAATTCGCATCAGTCGTTAGCTTATCTCAAAGTAAGTCATCTTAACTTCAACTTATTCTTATAATTGGTTTATACAATTTATACAGTACTCTTATACTCAATATTATTTGTCCGTCATTAGAGATTAAAAGAAATGTAAGTTTTGTTGGAGTTTTTCAAGCATTCTCGTTTATTTACTGTTATATGTGAAACAAATTGTCTCTCAGTTATATCTGTTTGGAGGTGTGACTCATCGATCTAGGGATTTGTCTTCCAGGCAATTTGTTGTTGTTGTTGTTGTTTGAACTATCACCACCTCACCTACATCAACATAGACAACAGGTTAGTGTCGTAAGCTCTCTACAATAAGTGTTTACTGCGCATAGACTTGTAAATTAAATTGTCTGCTTGGTTATGTTTCACTTTGCCTGATAAAATCACTTTCTAATTACTATCGTTTGATAAATAAGATGAATGAAATCGCTTTATAATTGTCTTTATTTTTCTATTTCATCCAGCGAATGGCTATTTCTGAAGTTCTACTACGATCTGCTAAGCATATTTTTAAAACATATCTGCAAGATGTTGATCCTATGCTGCTTTCAGTCGGTGTTGCTCACTTTCTCAATTGCTTTTTAACAGCTTGCCCAAATTTAACACCTTTACTTGGGATCGATGAGGTAGGTTTCACCTTATGATGTTCGTCATTCGGTTTGTCTCTCTCTCTCTCTGTGTGTATGCGTGTATTCTTTTATTTATGTTAATGTAGGTGACTCAGTCTAGACAAGAAGTTCCAATATTTCAGTACATCATTTGGATATGTATAGTTTATGTTTTACCTATGCTATGAGAATATTCATTCAAGGCATTCCAAGTTCATAACATATGCTGTATTGTATGACATTTAAGAATTTTCCTCCTATGCATACTACTGCAGTCTTATCTACTGGTAAAATCTTTAACAAAGATCAATAGAGCGGTAAACGTTTGTACAGTATAAAGACAGTCGCATGTATAAATCATCCTGGGGTATATTGACATATGCGACTTAATCAGAGAGCAAGTTCCACCATCTTCCACACAAAAGTGTTGATTGTTCAGCTTATCTCTAGTCTGCAAGACTTCAACAGCTCAAAAATTGTCAATTCTACGCTAATTTTTAGCATAATTGTTTTTAAATCATACCGTCGTTGATTGGACCGAATTGATCGGTTTCGATTGGCATATGGGATCCTGTGCAGATGCCTCGATATTACCGGTGATCTAATGGTAGTAATGATGAATAGTGGCTAGAAGTGGGAACAACGTCACTCACCGGGAAGCAGGTACATCCAGCTGACGAGTCCCAAATAGGATGAAATGCGCATCCTGGATCCCACTGCTAGCCACTATTCATCATCACTACCATTAGAGCACCGGTAATATCGAGGCATACGCACAGAATCCCATATACCAACAGAGACTGATCAATTCGGTCCAATCAACAACGGTATAATACAAGCAATAATACTAAAACTATACCCGTCGCACAAAAAGTGGTTATCGTGGCTCGGTGGTGTAGTGGATAACGCCCTGGCGTTTGGAGTGATCACTCCCGAGTCCGAATCCCGGTGGAAAAACATCACTTACTGGGAGGCAGGTACATCCAGATGACGGTCCCAAATAGGACGAAATGCGCATCATGGATTCCACCGCCAGCCACTATCCATCTCTACGCTAGTTTGCTTACCTTTTCACGAGATTAACTTTTTGATATTTATGCTGGGTGATAATTGACGATGCAATGAAAACTTAGACCGCGGCCGAATTCGAACCAGCAATCACTGGGTCTAAACTTTTATATATATATATATATATGATAGGTTAATTATTGCTTGATATTGATACGTTCTTCAAGATAGTTGGTTCAATTAATTATGAACTTTTCATTATCCTTCTATCCAACATTTGAAGTTGATGAAAACGCCACAGCTCTGAAATCATCCACTGTCCTCTATCCTGTAATGTTATTGTTTGTTCACATTACTAGAGGTGTGTTACTTGTCATTATTTTCTGCATAATCCTTGCCTTTTTGTGAACTTATTCATGGGATCAATAACTTTCTGGTTGTTTCCTCTTTTTTTTTCATGCAGCAAGTCCTAAAACTGAATCGAAATAAGAAAAATAAGAAAAAAACAAAAAATCTCCGTGAATCACCAGGTTAGTAATTAGCATGTAACTTAGTTTTCCTCTACTGTATATATCGTAGAAAAACGAATAGTGAAACGTTTGTTTTAAGTGTATCATTGCTTTATTCTACAAGAAACCTGAAATGTTCCATACCGTAATTATTCTGCATGCTATTGAATCATTCACTTTTGAGATTATACTTCCCACCTTATGTAACAATTTTATTATGTAGATTCAACGTTGAAAAAAAAACAAGATATTTGTTTATGCGAACAAAACCACATCAGAATCAACAATATTTTCATTTCACTTCCATAAAATCTATTGACAGTTTTAAGAATCAGTCCAGTTAGTTGTCTGTGACTAATTTGACCTATGCTTTAAACGTTGCAGTCATTGGAAGGGATTTGGTAAATCAATTCTTCAAGTTGGTATTCATCATGGACTGAGATCAGTTGGAGAGAGATTGGAAACCTGGGAGCAATGGGCAGCTGTTTCGTCCTGACATGGGACTCCTCAACAGTACGCGCCAGCGACCTTCAAGTTCCGTGGTCAGCACGTTACCATTAAGCCACTGGGTCGGAACCCAATGGTCCATATTTCCAACTTCAGTTGGTTCACGATGAATACCAACCTGGAAAATCTCTAAATCCCCACAAATTCCCAAATTCGATTGAACTAGTGCTCATTGGTGACTAGCTTCGAGAGGTGATTCCGTAAGTTCCAATAAGAAGTCGTTACCATTGGGGTAAACCTGGTGGTCGTGAGAACAAATACTCAACGATAATAATGGGTGATGGTCGCGCTATGTCTTGAACTTACAGAAGTTGGACATAGAGACTATTGGATTCCGACCCAGATGCTCAATGGTAACGTGTTGGTCACAGAACCTGAAAGTCCTGGGTTCGGTCCCTGGTGTATGGGGTCGTGGGTGCGTACTGCTGAGGAAGTCCCTTATCAGGACAAAACAGCTATTCAGTGCTCGCAGGTTTTTTCAGTGTTCCTGCAAACTGATGTCAGTTCATGATAAATACCAACTTGAAAAATCTCTGAATCCACACAAACCTTCAAAATCAATTCCTTTTGTTCGACTGAAGAATTAATAGACTAATTTAGCCTACACGGTTTGTTTCTAAGTCACTTCTTAGGTCATTCTTATTCAAGTCTCATTGAAAATTCTAAGTTAAGTTTATGATGTGTTGTATTGAGAATAATGAACTTACGGATGACATCACCAATTATCCACACAATGAAATTCATTGACAATCAGATAAGAAGGGTTTGATGATTTAACTTCTATGAACTTGTGACTCACTTAATAACGTATGCATTTCAACTAGTGGACAGTTACGTTGAAATTTATTTCGCTTCTTAGGTTTGCGGTTGGTACACCTACAGTAGGTTTGGTTTATAACAGTTGAAAAAGTCTCCATCTTGTTGCCAAATTACAGATACATTGACTTACTTCCCATAATTTTATATGAGTTATGTGTTAGTTGCAGGTTTTTGATCGTAGGTGTCTTCATACCATTGGTGGCGTTTGGTGGGATCACGGTGTAAGAAATATTTGAGGTCGGATAGAAGTTATTAGACAAGACAGATAAGTTGGTTGGTGAGTTTGTGAAACTTCATGGAATAAGATGGGTTGGACATGTACTGCGCATGCCCAGCCATCGCCTACCTGTATGTGACATGTTAGGCGAATTTGGGTTAGGTTGATGGAGGGTTCAGTATGGCAAGACCAAGACGTAGCACCTATCGATGAATTCTCTTACTGTTGGTCTGAGCCGTGTCGGAAGATGTAAACTTCCTGGTTGAGGTTCCTGAGACGAAATGAATCAGTGGTTGAGAACTCTTGGTGAAATGGCTGAAAATTGGTCACAGTGGAGCAGTTGTGTTCGTTATTGGATTTCTTCCAAAGCTTGAGTGTTTTTAGCATATGATTGTTTTTATGTCATACCGTCGTCGATATTGGACCGAATTGATCGGTCTCTGTTGGTATATGGGATTCTGTGCGTATGCCTCGATATTACCGGTGCTCTAATGGTAGTGATGATGAATAGTGGCTAGCAGTGGAATCCAGGATGCGCATTTCGTTTTATCTAGGACTCGTTAGCTGGATGTTCCTGCTTCCCGGTGAGTGATGTTGTTCCCTCAGGGATTCGGACTCGCGAGCGATCGCTTCAAACGCCAGGGCGTTATCCACTACACCACCGAGCCACGATAGCCACTTGTGCAACGGGTATAGTTTTTAAGTCCCCTCCATAAAGTTATATCTGCTTTAATATCAGTTTTACCTATCGACTTGTGAGCTAGATTCTACGTTGGTTTTATCTGTCTCTTCGTCTATATTGCAGTGCTAAAATTTTTGACTTCGATATTCATCAATGCCCAGAGGCATAATATCTATGCCATATAGTATTAGTGACGATCAATATCGAACATAGTAAACTGTAGTATCGTACCACTCAGTACACTTTAGTTAGTATTCAGACCTTTATAGGTACATTGGGGACCTGTGCGTGTAGGGAGTATTCTGTCCTGAATATGCAACCATTTCTCATCAATTACTGTGGTTATCACTAATTTTTCGTTGCTTCATTTTACCTATTAGTATTTTTTATGCTGTTTGTCGTGAAGTGTTTTAATCAGTATTCAATCTTTTTCACCATTTAGAAGAAATGGCTTGGCTTAACGAAACACATTCCAGTATATGGTCTGAATTACTCAAAGAGGCTAAAGAATACTACCACTATCACATAGCTGCGTAAGTATACTTGCCCCACCATTAATATAGAGAATTTTGTAACATTTGTTTGTAGTGTCTGTTAAATAAAATATCCTATTATCCATGGGTTGTATTTGTAAGCTGCTGTTTCAGTGAATGTATTCAACCTATCCTGTTTGGTAATCGGGAGTTGAGATTACTGGTTGGAGTGTAAAACGAAATAGTCATTTGTATAAGACACCTAAATTACCTAGTCTTTATTTTCTCTTCTGGATGAAGTTATCAATTTCTCCCAAGTATTTATTCAATAGTTCTCCTTACTTTATGCGCTACAATTTTCCTGTGAGTTTTCGGTTTCTACAGAAATGTGTCAATGTTCAGCGAATGCTATGATAAGAGTTCTAGGTCTTTTTTTAAGGTCAGAAAGAATATACTTTCACTGAAACATTTTAACGTGGTTATATTGGAGTGACTTGGCTTTAGACGCGATTAATGAGTGGGGAGGAGGGAAGGTGTGTTAACTAGGACCTATGAAATTTTCTATTGTTTTTATTTGTCGCTTGGGTTCCGAATGAAACATAGGGATTCAGTAGCACGTCTCTATTCCACTCTCTTCTCTCAAATCTTTTCAACTTAGTTACACGACAGTCCACAACCTCTCATTTCTTCCTCACACCATCTCCTCCATGTCACCCTCACCTCTCACGCCCGACTCGCCATTTCCCATCTGGCTTCCACTCGAGCGACTGGCCTGACGAGTGATATCCCCAGTCGGCCTTCTCACTGTATGCCCAATCCTATCCACCTCCACTTCCTTCCACTGCATATTTGTTGAGTGATAGGTTTTTGGTTGGTTCGTTGACAACCAGTCAGCCAGCCAGCCAGCCAGCTAGCCACAGTGAGTTCCTTGTTGCTTATTCTTATTATTCTGGCCATCTATCTCATCTTCAGTAACGAGCCAGTGTAGGTGGCAGTTGTTGATGAATATCTGTAGTTTGTTGGGAATGCCTTTCGTAACGCGCTAAGTCTGTCAGCCATACACAAACACTGACTTGACTGGTGTTGGTGTTCAAAATCTGGATGTTGTTCACGCTTTATGGTGAGTGCAGTGCATTGCAGTCGATCTCTACACTGGTTTCAGGTTAATGAATGCCTGTGTTGCTGTATTTCTGATCCTGGTGGCTTTGACGTCGTCGTGTGTGCCGCCGCCGTCGGCGCCACCGCCTGTAGTTGAAACGATGCTGCTTTGCCTAGATAGGTGAAGGCAGTTACTTCCTTTAAGTTTCTCTTGTTGATGGTGTTGGTGGTGTTGGTTGTGTATGTTCATCACGTGTGTGTTCTGTATATTCACTTGAAGTCCCGTCTTCGCTGCCTCACCTATTCTGTCAACTTGTTAGTTTTCGCGTGTAGATTTTCAAGTTTGTGTGACATCGGACACAAGTCATCGGTGAAATCTAAATCTCCTAGGTTGTTTTCCGCAGTCCGACTTATCTCCCTCTTCTCGCTCTTCACAGTTGACTGTTGCATGATCCAGTCCACCGCAATCATAAATATCATGGGTGATAGTAGACAGCCTTGTTTCACTCCTGTCTTCACTTCAAAGGCATCACTGAGCTTCCTACTGGGAATTACTTGTCATGTGGCGTCTTCATATAGTTGTTGAATGAGATCGATAAAGGTTTGTGGTATTCCGTGGTGTGACCTACGGAATTGCATACTCTATACAAATATACCATTTTTAGACTTTAAGATGAGCAAAGCCAATAATGATAAATTAAAGTACACGTGTTATTACATATCTAATGCATAAATATTGAATTTTCACTTCTAGTAATGGTAATATTAGTGTAATGCAGTGTCACACCACTTGACCTAATGGTGAATTTGATCGATAAGTTCTGATCAGCTGTACAGACACATATCGGTTACGCATTATTGAGAAACTCGTGAAGTCATCACAACATCTCTGTCTGTATTTTGATTTTGGCATACGAGTAGATTGGAATAACTCAATAGGGGAAAGGCATATTAAGGAAATATTTCTGCTGTAATGGAGTATTAATCCTGACGACTTCAACCAAGAAATCAGGCCATTATCTTTGTTCATCCTTAAGTCGATAATGTTCCATGCGAGTCTCTTTCGATTTTTCTATTCTTGTCTGATTAGAACTTTTGTCTAACGGTATTGTCTTCAAATTCCATGTTTTCATTTCAATGGTTCGACGACTCAACAATACCATAAATCCACTCAGTACTGCGAGCTCGGGATTTCTCACTATCGATAGTTTATCACCTCTTGTTGAGTATCTGTTCTGCGTGTACATATTTCCTTCTTCATATTCTACATTTTCCGAATTTATATGGTCTTACAAAGGTTATGGGTAGCCAGGTACGCAAATTCATTTTGTGAGGAAGCGGAAAGCACCATATGTTAATGCGTTTCCTACAGTACACAAAGCATTTGGCCACCGAACAGAAAGACAAGACCAGTATAGGACCTTGACATTGCTATATAACGATTGGACTTGCCACATTTTATGTCACCACATCAAGTAAGAATGCCGTATAGTGAAATAAATAACCAAAGAAGAAAGCTGTTAAAAGTGGTAGAAAGTCATCAAAAGAGGGCACGGAAGAATGGCAGAATACTGAAATTCATTTTGACGATTAAGATTATATTGGTTCTGCTCCATATCATCTAGAGTCTGCAACGTCTGGTTTCTGTTGTCACGCGGACCCCAACCAAGTAGTGTACACGGTTCAGTCCGACAGTGAAAGACTTCATGGACTGACGCCATGTTTTAATCTAGTCGACCGCCATCATTTTTACATCTACCTACATCCATCACCAGTTGTCTCTGTAAGTTTATCCTTTTATTTACGGGTTCACCGTCGATGACTCACCTTGCTTCTAACTTAAACATTGGATAACTCAGTGGTTTCACCGGATACAATCAATGATATCAAGGTACGTACAACTCAATATTTTCATCTTCCTCATGTTTACTTCCGAAAATGACATCGCATAGCTATTATGCACGTCCCTGTGTTGTGCACTCACACTTCTATGTATTAAGTACCTTCCGAATTTTATTGGTAGCACGGTTTTGCAGCTCCAATCAAGAGAAACGTAAAGGAAGTAACTGCCTTCACCTATCTAGGCAAAGCAACATCGTTTCAACTACAGGCGGCGGTGACGGCGGCACACATGACGACGTCAAAGCCACCAGGATCAGAAATACAGCAACACAGGCATTCATTAACCTGAAACCAGTGTAGAGATCGACTGCAATGCACTGCACTCACCATAAAGCGTGAACAACATCCAGATTTTGAACACCAACACCAGTCAAGTCAGTGTTTGTGTATGGCTGACAGACTTAGCGCGTTACGAAAGGCATTTCCAACAAACTACAGATATTCATCAACAACTGCCACCTACACTGGCTCGTTACTGAAGATGAGATAGATGGCCAGAATAATAAGAATAAGCAACAAGGAACTCACTGTGGCTAGCTGGCTGGCTGGCTGACTGACTGGTTGTCAACGAACCAACCAAAAACCTATCACTCAACAAATATGCAGTGGAAGGAAGTGGAGATGGATGGGATTGGGCATACAGTGAGAAGACCGACTGGGGATATAACTCGTCAGGTCAGGCCCTCGAGTGGAAGCCAGATGGGAAATGGGGAGTCGGGCGTGAGAGGGGAGGGTGACATGGAGGAGATGGTGTGAGGAAGAAATGAGAGGTTGTGGACTGTCGTGTAACTAAGTTGAAAAGATTTGAGAGAAGAGAGTGGAATAGAGACGTGCTACTGAATCCCTATGTTCCATTCGGAACCCAAAAGACAAATAATAATGCAATAGTAATACGGTTTTGCAGATGCCTACTAGGCGTTTTGTATCTATCTTGAGAAGTTACCAGAGACTTTCTTCCTGAATAATTGAAGTAGTCGATTCATCCCACTACTTTACTTATTCCCTTTTGCTAAAATAGAAATTAATATATCAGATCTTGTAGTATCAATTTAAACTCTAGATGCAGATTTGTAATAATTTTATTCTGAGGTTTTAGCCTATATTTGATGAACAAGTTTGATAAGGCGACCTGATAAGCTGCTGCACATTCATCTGCTCACATATTTTATCGCTTTTGACATGCATACCAGAATTAACTAAACGGATGATCAACCGTATGTTTTCAGTGGGGAATATGTTTATATTTCCTTAATAAACTGTTTTCTGGTTACTCACTTTCGTTCTGCACATTTCCTTTTTTTTTTTATCTCTTTCTTGAGTAAACACACTTCTCAACTGGCACTATTACTGTCAACTCGTAGAAGTCAATATCTGTTTCCATGATAATAGTGGTAGTAAAAGTAATATGGTTGGTCAGTTATAACTTTGTGTTATCATACAGTGAAAACAGACAACATTCCATCTAAGCATAGATCCCTTGACCCGAATTCTGGACACCTATTTTCTAAGCTTATTTTCAATAGACAACATATGCATAAACTATCAAGTCTGTTCATCTCTTTGTGTATCTACATTTAGATCAGACATAGATGAATTTTGTAAAACACATGAAATCCAGCGCATTCATCTCCTCAGATCATTTTGTACTTCAGTTGGCATACAGTTACTTTTACGTGAATATAATCTTAATCCACCGAATGGAGCTAAACATCATCAGAAGCCTGTGTTCAATACTGAAGATATAGTTTCCCTTTATCCAGTGGTCAAACATTTACATCCTCATGCAACTGATGCTTATCATTACTTCACAACTGGACAAGCTCGAATTTCTGCTGGTCATCTTCAAGAAGGTTTTGAGTTGATTAATGAAGCTCTAGGCCTTCTTAACGGTGTTTATGGCCCTCTTCATCCTGATATTGGTGCATGTAATCGTCTTCTAGCTCGTCTGTCATATGTTATGGGTGAACATCAAGCTGCATTACTTTTTCAACATCGTGCCACTATAATTAGTGAACGTGTGCATGGGATTGACAATCCAAATACAGCAACCGAATACGTAAGTACTCCTGCCTTGTGTTTGTCATATCTGTATTCATTACAGTTAAAGGATTTACACAGTCCAACATATTATCAAATCGTTAACTTTACAGAACCACTGGAGTGTTGTGGCTTTTTTTATCTACACCTTAAGTAATATTTTATTGTATGAATCGTGTAAATGTTGGCAATCCGACTTCTTTTAAGCGTCAAATATGACTAGATCTGATATCTGAATGAAGAATGAAGTCAATCTATTTCAGAGAGTAAATTTATTTTCTACTTCTTAAAATGCCATTCATTAGAGACATAAATCGTAACGTGTAACGATCCAGTTAACCACTCGTAATATCAAGCAACAGGCTGAAAGATGTAGGAATAAGGAAGAAAGAGGAGAAGGAAAGGAAGAATGAAATAATAGTGGGATTCGTTACGACGATTAAAATAAAAGTGGTGTATTGATGCATCTGCACCACTAGGATAGATTTGAATCTCTTTTCCGGAGTAAACAGCTACCAATTTCGGTTGTTAAGTGAACTCCAACTAAAAAGTTTACATTTTAACGACGTATCTCAGGCTAAAAGTTTGGTCACCTATAACCATTTTTCAGCCTAGACTTACTTCAGCTAACGTTTCTCAACAAATTAGATAGCGAATAGGCATATGTAACATATGTCCCAGCGACCTCAGTTAATAAAAGTTCACAACCTCATCAACTGACTTTTTTCTCTTGCTGAAACTCTACGCTTGATTTCTATGTTGCTGAGTTGTTGGCACCATGACACACTGTCCATGGCAAATTCCTGAAACCTTCTCATGTCGTCTACCTTTAACGACTATTTTTCACAATCCTTTTGTAGGAGAGCGAACTCTCTCGAAGTACACTCGACCCTTAATCGGTAAATGAATATCACGGTGGCTCCATAAATGGTATAGGCTTGTATTCTCGAATAGCCACTAAAATCAGCATCTTCACCCAGCAGGACTATGTCATCTGCGCGTACTCTAGGTCTACTATAGAGTCAATTTTGTTTTTTGTGACTAGATCATCATCAATATCCTGAATATAATCAAATCTTTCTGTTATCTCATGTACATGTTTCCTGCTTTTATTCTGTATCTGAATGCTTTGGCAACTCACGAACATGGTACTAGTTGAATTATTATGCTATCACGGAAACTCACTATACGACGACTTCAGATACTATTCGGTTGTCACCTCGATTGAATTAGATTAGACTAGGTTTCAACGCTGAGACTCGCTAGTTGAAAATTGGGTGTTCACACCAATAAGCCATGTTTCCACGTTCACTACTCTCCTATTTGGTTCTGGGTTATCGTAACCATTTTACGTAATTACTTTTATTGAATTTTTCTATCAGTGACGTGAGGGCTTAGTTACACTAATATTCAGCTCAAGATTATGACTTGAGATTCATTTAATCTAGTTAATCATGTATCATTATTTGGTGTATATTTGAAGCTGTCTTCCTCTTCTTAAACATGTTAATTGTGCTTTTTTCAGAATGCTTTAAATGATTTACGGATAGATTTTTAGTTTTTACATATATATCATCATTTCTACCTTAAACATTAATAAAATCAACAATTCATGTTTATACTTTTGGAATTTTAGATACATTTCTCTTTGTACTCATTCGCTTGTGGACAGATATCTACAGCGCTACAATTACTTTATCGAGCCCGTTATATAGCTCTTTTATGTCATGGTGAATGTCATCCGGAAATAACGCAAATCGATGTAAGTTTTAATCTACTATTCCTAAGAAGTTATTCTCCATAAAAATTTGTCTATTTTAAGTAATAATAATAATAACGCATTCTTTCTGCTACTACCCCAGTTTTATTTGATTATCTGGTTCAAAGAGATGGGTTCTGTTTTGTTTCTGTAAGTTGTATCGATTATATCTGGTGACTATACTTGTTCATTGTATACAGGTCATTAGACATAGTTTTGTATGGTGTGGTGTTCAAATGTATATTGATGTTTGAAAGTCGAGTATCCAGTGTACAGCTCTAGTAGACACTCGTATTTTAAACAGTAGATCTAATTTATGACTATTTTAACTACAGTCTATTTTTTTTTCCCCGTGTTTTAGACGAATATTGGCCTAATGTTACAGTTGGTTGGAGAGCTCGATTTGGCCTTGGTATTTTTAGAGAATGCATTATCGTTAATTAGATTGTAAGTCATCATACTTAGGTTTTTGTTTCATTTGATATTTTGTAAGTGTTCAGTTGAGATTACTGTATTACAGAACTATTAGCCAGGAGTACTTTGTGTCGCCTTTAATTTGCCAACATTCACTTATAGTTCAAATGAATAACTTAACAGATTTAACTTTACAAATGTTACTTGCATGAGATCCACCGAGGAACGGCATTGGTTAGATGAAATTTGTGAACATATTACACAATTACGGTGGAAAACATCATTGTAAAAACACTATTATACTAGGTGTAGTTTATGTTCCCATTCAGTAATGTAGATTATTGTTGTCTATTTTAGACTTCCAGACTGACTGTGGTTTAACGCACTTGTCTTTATGCGCTAGATGATGATTGAAGGTGAAATAAAAATCTGGGTTGCGATAAAATTCAAACTGGATGACCTTTGAATTAATAGTCAGATGTTCTACCGACTGGATTACGAGACCTTCCTAGCTGTTTCGTTTTGATGACCGTATTATTATTTATTTTCTTTTGACTTTGATAAAATCTTATACTTCTCAGGTGATTATACCAATCAAATAAAACAATGTAATCTAATTAGGGGAAGATATCTGATTTTATTTCAATAATTTGTATTTAAAACAAGTTATAAAGCCATCATATATACTATTATTATTATTATTATTATTATTATTATTATTATTTGTCCCTTGGGTTCCTAGTGGAACACACGGTTTCAGTAGCACGTCTCTATTCCACTCTCTTCTCTCAAATCTTTTCAACTTAGTTACACGACAGTCCACAACCTCTCATTTCTTCCTCACACCATCTCCTCCATGTCACCCTCACCTCTCACGCCCGACTCCCCATTTCCCATCTGGCTTCCACTCGAGCGACTGGCCTGACGAGTTATATCCCCAGTCGGTCTTCTCAGTGTATGCCCAATCCCATCCATCTCCACTTCCTTCCACTGCATATTTGTTGAGTGATAGGTTTTTGGTTGGTTCGTTGACAACCAGTCAGCCAGCCAGCCAGCCAGCTAGCCACAGTGAGTTCCTTGTTGCTTATTCTTATTATTCTGGCCATCTATCTCATCTTCAGTAACGAGCCAGTGTAGGTGGCAGTTGTTGATGAATATCTGTAGTTTGTTGGAAATGCCTTTCGTAACGCGCTAAGTCTGTCAGCCATACAGAAACACTGACTTGACTGGTGTTGGTGTTCAAAATCTGGATGTTGTTCACGCTTTATGGTGAGTGCAGTGCATTGCAGTCGATCTCTACACTGGTTTCAGGTTAATGAATGCCTGTGTTGCTGTATTTCTGATCCTGGTGGCTTTGACGTCGTCATGTGTGCCGCCGTCACCGCCGCCTGTAGTTGAAACGATGTTGCTTTGCCTAGATAGGTGAAGGCAGTTACTTCCTTTAAGTTTCTGTTGTTGATGGTGATTGGAGTTTGTTGTTGTTGATGGTGGTGGTGATGGTGTTGGTTGTGTATGTTCATCACGTGTGTGTTCTGTATATTCACTTGAAGTCTCGTCTTCGCTGCCTCACCTATTCTGTCAACTTGTTAGTTTTCGCGTGTAGATTTTCAAGTTTGTGTGGCATCGGACACAAGTCATCGGCAAAATCCAAATCTTTTAGTATCTTTCCCCCTGTCCAGCGTATCCCCCATCATATACACTATCAGTGTTTACTAGTTACTAGCCGGTCCTAAGCCCGGGTAAAGAGGGAAGGTTGGGCATACGGCTAGCAACCCTACCCCGTAAAACAAATCTAACCGCTAAACAAACTTCAAAGCACAAACAAAATATAAAAAATGAAAACAAACTTATTCCCCGCTGGAATCGGAGAGGCGAAATGACGCCAGTTGGTGAAAGCCTTCGGGAAGCCGATTGGCCGATGTGTCTTCTCTCGATGAAAGCGAAAGTAAACGTGGGGACATGGAATGTCCGCACGATGTTTGAACCCAGTAAGGCAGCCCAGATTGCAAAGGAGATGAGAAGGTATAACATCGAAGTGCTTGGGATTTGCGAAAGCAGATGGAATGGGAGTGGACTCTCCAAACTGTCAACTGGAGAATCAATAATCTACTCCGGTCACCCAGACGCCAACCACGAGCACACTGAGGGAGTGGCTATCATGATGTCCTCAAGAGCATCGAAGGCTCTCATGCAGTGGGAACCAATCTCCTCCAGGATCATGACAGCAAGATTCAACTCAAAAGGAAGAAAGGTCACAATCATACAATGTTATGCACCTACAAATAATGCAGAGCAAGAGAAGAAGGAGGAATTCTACAGACAACTTCAGTCAACACTGGACAAGACGTCAGTTGGCGATATCAAAATTCTAATGGGCGACATGAATGCCAAACTGGGAGGGGACAACACGGGAAGAGAACTAACCATGGGTCGAGAGGCGCTAGGTGAAATGAATGAGAATGGAGAATTGTTTGCAGAATTCTGTGCATTCAACGATTTGGTGATTGGAGGCAGTGTGTTCAGGCACAAGGATATCCACAAAGCGACATGGACTTCACCAGATGGACACACTAAAAATCAAATCGACTTTATCTCAATCTCAAGAAAATGGAGAGGCAGTCTACTTAACACAAGGTCAAGAAGAGGAGCAGATGTAGGTTCACACCACTCACTATCTAGTGCAAGGAACCTTCCAAATCAAGTTAAAAGCCTTCAAGGAAGCTGGTGATAGACCTCAATTCAAGTACAACACTCGGAAACTGAAGGATGAAACTACAAAGGAGATCTTCACGTCAGCCATCAAGACAAAATGGGAGACGTCGAGGGACATCCCTGAAGAAACCTGTGTGGAAGAACACTGTAAGTCTTTGAAAGCTATGTGGAAAGAAACCTGCACAACAGTATTAGGAAGGAAGAAGAAAGAAGACAAGGAATGGATCTCGACGGATACCTGGAAGCTGATAGAGGAGAGGAGGATGGTGAAGCAGAAGATAAACCAGTGCAAGGATGCTCAACGACAAGAGGAACTGAGCACAATGTATAAAACACTGGACAAAGAAGTGAAGAAGAGTGCACGCAAAGACAAAAGACACTTCTACGACACATTGGCAAGTGAAGCAGAACAGGCTGCAGGTAGGAGAGAGACCTGACGACATTGTATCAAATAACCAGGTTGCTATCAGGGAAGAGACCAACACAGATGAAACCAATAAAAGATGAAGAAGGAAACTTAATTACAAAAGATGAGAAACAGAGGAAACGATGGGCCGACCACTTCAAGAAGCTCTTGAATCGACCACCACCACCTGCTCTTCGTCCAGAAATACCACCTGCAGCCGCTGAATTACAAGTGAACATAAATCCCCCAACGAAAATGGAAGTCCTGAACGCCATAAAGCTACTGAAAGGTGGGAAAGCAGCAGGACCAGATGGAATACCGCCAGAAGCACTGAGAACAGATGCAGAGACAACAGCGGACATGCTCACACCACTATTGCAGAAGGTGTGGAGGGAAGAGAAGGTACCTGACGATTGGAAGAAGGGTTACCTTGTCAAACTGCCGAAGAAGGGAGACCTCAGTGCTTGCAAGAACTGGCGCGGAATCACTCTCCTACCCACCCCAAGTAAAATATTAAGCCGCATCATCCTGGAGAGGCTTAAAGACGCACTGGATTCAAAACTGCGACCGGAACAGGCAGGCTTCAGGAAGTACAAATCATGTGCAGACCAAATTGCAACGCTTCGTATCATCATAGAACAGAGCGTAGAATGGCAATCAGCTCTATACCTCAACTTCATCGACTTTGAGAAGGCCTTTGACAGCGTCGACCGAGAAGTAATTTGCAAACTGCTTCAATACTACAGAGTACCGCAAACCTTTATCCGCCTCATCCAACAACTATATGAAGATGCCACATGCCAAGTAATTCACAATGGGAAGCTCAGTGATGCCTTTGAAGTGAAGACAGGAGTGAAACAAGGTTGCCTACTATCCCCCATGATATTCCTGATAGTGGTGGACTGGATCATGCAGCAAACAGTAGGCAGCGAGAAGAGTGGGATACACTGGACGACGGAAAAGAACCTAGAAGACTTGGATTTCGCCGATGACTTATGCCTAATGTCACACAAACTTGAAGATCTGCAGGCAAAAACTAACAAGTTGACAGAAGAGGCAGCTAAGACGGGACTTCAGGTGAATATAGAGAAGACAGAAGTGATGAAGATACCGCACCACCACCATCAACAACAACAACAAACTCCAATCACCGTCAACGGGAGAAACTTGAAGGAAGTAACCTCCTTCACTTATCTAGGAAGCACTGTTTCAACTACAGGCGGGACGGACGAGGACGTCAAAGTCAGAATCGGAAAAGCAAGACAGGCTGTTCATTAGCCTGAAACCAGTGTGGAGATCTTCTGCACTCAGCATGTGGAACAAGATACGGATATTCAACACCAACGTCAAGTCAGTGCTCTTGTATGGCTCAGAGACTTGGCGCGTTACGAAAGGCATTTCCAATAAACTACAGACATTCATCAACAACTGCTTACGCTCGCTGCTGAAGATCAGATGGCCAGAAAAAATAAGCAACAAAGAACTCTGGGAACGAACCAACCAAGAACCTATCACGCAACAAATATGCAGGAAGAAGTGGAGATGGATTGGGCATGCACTGAGAAGGCCGACTGAGGACATCACGCGTCAGGCCCTCGAGTGGAATCCCCATGGGAAGCGACGAGTTGGACGTACGAGGGTGACATGGAGGAGGTCATGCGAAGAGGAAATGAGAGGTTGTGGGCTGTCGTGGAACCAGGTTCAAAAGATCTCAGAGAACAGAGGTCACTGGAGGCGTGCTACTGAAGCCCTATGTTCCACTAGGAACCCAAGGGACTAATAATATAATGTAATAATCCTGTAGTTGTAGAGTTGTTCGCTTAGTTCATGTCATAACCAATTGTACGTTTATTTTCATTCTATAGATTCTATGGTGAACGAAATTTGAAAGAAGCATTCACTTGTCATTTAATCAGTCGTACATATACCTATCGTGGTGATTTCCGTACTGCTCTTGATTATGAAAAGCGCCGTTTTCTTATCTACAAAGAACGTTTAGGTCCTGATAGCGATTACACTAAAGACAGTGATGAATGTTTACGACAGCTCACTCAGCAAGCTGTTACAGTTGCTCGTAAAGTAGCTGAACTCACGGCTGCCTCTACAAAATCTGCCAGTGGTGATTCGTCGAATTTAAATTCTCATTCAAATGCTGTTGATATTTCTACCGCTGAATCTGTTGTAGCTAAAGCAGTTCTATCCAATCCTTTTGCCAACGCTGCTGCATCTGGTTCTCTGACCCTCCCTATGCCTACGATTTCTTCTGTTTTAGAAATTCTTAACCGTGTGAATGGTATACTGGTGATTCAGTTAAGGTAAGTGGTGTAAATAGGTGCATTTCATTGAATTGTAGGTTTATGGATTTTTTTTTACTTCTTTTGTGTAATCTCTTATCAGTTCGATGAAAACAAATGGCAATCTTCAAAGTGTTATTTGAATGTCAAAAATAAAGTTTATCCACTCGTACAAAATGATAATAAGGCTGATAATTAAACGGAGGCATTCGTCAGGAGCGCGAGTATTTTCAACTTCGACGAAACTGATGTTCGGCTCCGTGAAGATTTGAACCCTATGCTACACGTTACCAGTAAGCTATTCGAGCCGCGATTGATTGACTGATCGATTTATAGTTGGAATTTGAGAATGTTTGGGATGCGGTTTTCACCACCCAAATGCAAATTTTTGCTACAGGACTAGTCTTCAGCGGGGCCACGGCTAACAATAGAGAGTGAAGTGGTTGAGTGTGTTGAACACTTCACTTGTCTGGGAAGTAGGATCAACCCTGGTGGGTTAGTTCCCGATGAGATTTCTGCACGGATACAAAAGGTTCGACTGGCTTTTGCCAATTTACGCCACCTATGGCGCCGCCGTGATTGATATCCGTTTGTCTATTAAGGGTCGCGTGTACTGCACAGCAGTCTGGTCTATTCTACTGTATGGCTGTGAAACATGGCCATTAGAAATGGAAGATATAAGAAGGCTTGAAGTGTTTGACCACCATTGCCTTCATAGTATAGGCCGTATTCCGTGGTGTCACCACCACGTAAGTAACGCAGAAGTCAGGCGTAGAGTTTTAGGGAGTAGAGGTAAATCAGTTGACACAGTTGTGAACCTTCATCGTCTGAGATGGTTGTTACGTATGCCTCGTCACACAATGTTGGCGGAAATAGGTTCGAGCTGGAAAGAGGCTCGAGGCGGCCAGACTAAAACACGGTATCAGTGTATGAGGTCTTTGACTGTTGGTTTTAGCCATGTGGGGACGATGCAGACTAGGTGGTTGGGGTCCGCGGGACAAGAGGAACCAGTGGTTGGAGACCTTAGGTGATATGGCTCAGAACCGATGTCAGTGGCACACATTATCCTCATCTTAAAGATGCTATACCGAATCTCACCATTTTATCATTCTTCCTTTCTCTCTTTTCGTACTTTATATTTCTTTTGACTGCATTCACTTATCTTCATCCTTCACCTCACTGCCTTTTTACTTGATGTACTGATATAAGATGAGGTGTGGCAACTCGTAGGGTTATGCAGTAATGCCTGGTCCTATGTTGATATTGATTGATTCGATTTATAGTAAAACCGCATCATAGGTTGTTTCATAGTTGTAGAAAATAATCTTGTCTATACTCTTGTAGGTTTAAGTTCCCTTCATCTGTTGTTTGTCCATGACAAATTTAACTGTAGTGATGTAAAGTCGTATACTCTAACGTCTTGTTTTGATTCCTTCCGTACTGCCTTCAAATTATTTATGTTCAATACTTTTGAATCAATGTAATCTTATCAGCTATGGTGATTATGTATGCGTAAAATATATCGACTATTTGTATTTATTTCAGAGGAAAAGACGAAGAACATTCAGATCAGCATGAAAAAAGCAAATCAAACAAGTGTGATCCCTTGAAGTTGCTTGCATCTGATGAAACCGATCAACTGAAAACTGTTTCTATGCCTAGTAAGGAATCTTTGGATCAACCGACTACACCAACTAATGTGAACAAAATTGTTATACCAGTGTTATAATTTGAATGGATATGTCATTTTATTAAATGGTCCCTTTTTATCGACAATGCAAACATGGAAATTAACAAATAATAATTTAATTTTTCCAGTCAACATCTCTTGTCGTTGTCTAAATTATCCAACTTTCCACCACCAACATCTTTACTGTAATACCTTAGGTTGATAATAAGACATAATCCAAAAATTTATCTCGACTACTTTTATTATTACGAATATTACCACTACTACTACTACTACTACTACTACTGTCTACTGTACACTAGTCTTCCTATTTTTTCTAATGTTTTGTTTATATATTTATGTATCATAGTTTAGATAACTTTCGAAATTGTCTTATCTTCCGTTTTTTTCGACAGAAATAATGTTTGTTATTACAGAGAGGCACATTTGTACATCTATCGGTGTATGTGTGTGTGTGGATGTGAATGAAGAATATAGTTGGCGCACAAACTTTGAACTCCCTTTATAATTACTTAGTTTTAGAGAAGAAAAACTGTAGAATAGTTAAGTAATTCTATTCATATTTGCATTTTGAAGGAATATATTAATGTTTTCATTTGTTTGTTTTTAAAAGGCGTTCAATCAGTCTGGAATCATATTATGTATTCTATTGTCTTACCTCATATAAAATTGTTTCTGATGAGGGATTTCATGCAATTTTATGAAATTCTGACTATAAAGCAAAGAATGCATGTACTGCTCATCCTCTCGTTCAATCCAACTATAGGGCTGTTAAAAGTAGATTATATGTTCTTAACCATAGATGACTTGGTAGGTGTCAGCCTGTACGGAGTCACCATGTAGGCAGTGTTAAGGTTAGTTTCAGAATAGCACGAGGTAATGAACACTCATCGACTGACATTATTTGGACATGTATTGTTCAAACCGAGCGACCCCCTATATCGACGTATGATGTTTACCAAAATAGGATTAGGTTGAAAGAAGACATCAATTCTTAATAGACACACTTACCGGCTGCCAATGCCTAACATATTCCTTAACCTGACTCTGTCGAGCGTGAGGGGTTGTTTCAGTGTCTGACCGTGAAAAGAGTACCGAGCAAGTATGTAACGCTAATCAAATCTCTACTCGAACTCACGCAGCTCTTTTAGGGCTTATGGTAAGTTTTCTGAATTGATGACAACAAATAGTGTACAGTAGGGCTTTCCACTGTCACCGTTTCTATTTAGCTTCGTTATAGGCGTACTAATGGACATAACCTTAGGGACATTTGAATTCATAGGGATTGATCTTCTCCTTGGAGGTTATCCGGTTGACTTTTAGTATGCAGACGATAATGTCCTACTAGGTGAAGAGGCTGACGCAATACTAAGTCTTTTGAACGCGTTGAACAGAAGTGTGAGTATGTTTGACGTTAGCTTCGCACCTGTGAAATGTAAGATAAGGTTAATATTCAAGTTTTGGCACAGAAAGTGGTGACCTTTACAATCATCCAATTACACAGTGATATGGAGCAAAGATCGATGTAATACAGGTGAGTGAATAAGCAACTCGGTCAGAGAGGTTTTTACGTTGTGCGAGTCAGGTGGAACAAAAATAGGGTGGGGGAAGAATTTTTAGTTCGTCTATGAAAAGTACAATGGGGTTGTGAGACATCAAGGGTGAGAAAGAATAGATTACTAGTTTGGAAGGATGAATATTTGAAGATCAGACAATATATGATAAATAAATAATAAAGGTAACGGTAAATATACTTTTGATGACACTTGAAGTATGAGTGATAACAAAATAGACTATGTTATAGTTCATCGAATGTGTATGACTCAGAAAATAGCGTAAAATTGATGAAAATAGTAGATCAATAAAGTCCTATGTAATAGGACTAGACAAGCTGTTAAAATGCAACCAATATATTTTTTCCCGTGGTTAAGAGGAATAAGAGAAATAACACCGGAGACTATTCAAACAAGAGTGAATTCGCACTAAATCATATGGAATGAAATTATGTTCTACCTTCACTTCAGATATTATTTACAACTGCCTAAGCGAGTCATTAATATTTGCCATATTAGTGGGATGTCTAACCCATCTTTTCTGTTGACCGAAGAATGATATGAACAGATGTGCAAAACTTCTGAAATGGTCCGCTCTTTGTGAGAAAAAAAAACCCTTTTGTCTGTTCGAATGATATTTTATGACCTGAATATAGGGCATCAGCCACGATAGCAGAGCTTTTTTCAAGTTTTTCTAGATCATAGGAATTTTTTTGGTGGTTTTTTGGAACTTCTACCGTGTTTGGCTAGACGTGTTAGCACTTGACATGGTCTCTCCAATATTTGTGGCATCGCATTCACTACAGTCTACCTTATAAACACAGTTTTGTTGTTCCAAATGAGGAGTCGGATATTTGAAATTAGTTTATTATATTGACCTCGAGAACTGTATCTACCTCACGAGCACTACAAATGCATATTAGAAAAAAAATAATGTAACGGTTCATTGTGAACATTTTTTTAAAGATTTATCACCTGACATTTGCTATAAGAGTAACCATCCTCAGATAGCAATAGTATTCGGTGAAAATATCCAACTAACATAAACATTTGACATGATTTCTTAGCCACAGGGTTTTCACCTTCTCCAACAGTTAGGGAGATGTTTTTTTTTTTTATATGATAAAACTGATGCTGATACACTAAATTGGATCACTGTGTGTTGGTGTAGATATTCGATGAGATTCGTCAAACTCACGTATTCATCTGCTCTTATTAGTCAACTTTCATAGTTGAAATTCACTTTTGTTTTCCATAAAAAAATATTTCATTCTTTTCTGAAGGTTTTCCTTCAGTTCATTCTAACTATTACAAATCTGGACAAATGTTTACTAGGGATTGTGAAGTTCTTCTAAAAAAATCACTTTATCATTGGTTGTGTTGTTACAAAGAATATCATTATCATTTTAAATATCTGGGATAACCACGGTTTGGCACATCAGTATTCATACTAGGTGACGACTAAAGGTGAAGTAAAAATTTAAAGCAACGTTGGATTTGAATCAGTGACTAACGAGTTCCCAGCACGGTGCTCTGAACTACAAAGCTCGACTGCTGAACAGATTTTGATTTTTATCTAATCGCCAAAGGTTTTACTCGACTATCATGTGAATTCGTGACATGTTACTACCACTTGGTTGTATTTACACTAGGTACACAGTCAGGACTTCTCATCTCAATTCAAAACTAACTGAATTAAAGAGGGGGAGCATCATATTGATTATTATTTGACTATCTGGGATAGCTGTAGTTTGGCAGACTAGTACTAACACTGTGAGATGATTGGTAGTCATGCGAAATCCTACTCATCCTACTCATCTGCTTTTTTTTGTCATTTAATTTCACATTATATACGATGAATTGTTTTCCTTTCTAACTGTATTGGTAAACATTGAAATATTTACCTGTTATTCTGAAGTCGTATGTTCTAATGTGATAGTTGACCTTGTACTCTATGGAAATTTGACTAATATCATATCAAAGATCCTATGCTTATCCGATGCTTAGCTACAGTTCGAAAATGACAAACTCGAGGAAACCAGGTAGGTTTCAGATATAGCTAGACTAGGGTGCATCGACCGTATTTCAACCCTCTAACAAGTTCAGGAACACACGTATACTTATCGACCGATGGCCGATACTTGCCATATATCTTGACTTGAAGGCAGCTTTCGACTCTGTCGAATGTGAGGTGTTGTGGCAGTGTCTGACTGTCAGGGTAGTACCGATTAAGTTTATAACGCTAATCAAAGCTGTCTACTCGAACTCACGCAGCTATTTTAAAGCTTATAGAAAAGTTTCTGAATTAACAACAATCAGTGTTGTCCAGCAGACCTTTTCACTATCACCGTTCCTATTTAACTTCGTTACAAACGTACTAATGGACATACTTAGGAATATCTGAATTCACAGGGATTGATCTACTTTTTGGATATCATATGGTTGACCCAACTACTTAACACTGTAGTTGATAGACATTTAAATTCTATCAAGCAACTAGCTACAGTAATTTTAACTGACAATGAGAATCACTTCATTCATAGCTCTCTACTTGTATCTCAGGGAGGACAAGAAGAAACTACATAACACTGTACGCTCGTGTGGCCAAGTACAAGAAGTCAACTGTACCTTACCTAAGACGCATATTATTTTAGGAGAAACTGTTAGAACGGAACTCACATATCAACTTTGTAACAGTTAACAATCTCATTTCAATAATTTAATTAACAATGTACAAAATGTTCTCGTTATTAATGTTCTTTACATTACTTAAATTTCTATGACAGCGGAATTCGAAATGTTGTAAAGAAGTATATGCATACATATATTTTCTTGTTGTTGCAGTGTATCATTCTGAGAATTCCAAATTGTATTGTTAGAAATAATGTGAATATAATAATTATCATTATTATTAGAGTATGCCGACGGTATTGTCCTGCTAGGTGAGATAGGCTGACGCAAAACAAAGTCTTTTGAACTCGTTGAACAGAAGTGTGAATATGTTTGACATTAGCTTTGCACTTGTGAAACGTAAGATTAATGCCTCGAGACTGGTGTGCAACTAATCCGAGTTTAATGATAGAGGGTGAAGTGTTGGAATATATCGACCACTCTACCTACTTGAAGAGTTAAATGAGCCGAAAGGGGGTGGTTTGTGGCGAAATTTCATCTAGGATACAGAAAGAAGGCACGTTTGGTACTTGCTAACTCGCGTCATGTATGCTGCCGACTGGGAAGATATCAAACTGGGGTATTAAAGGATGCATATACTAACTACACTGCAGTTGATTCTGTACTTTTGTGCGGCTGTGAGACATAACCGTTAGAAGCAGAAGAGATGAAGCGGTTGTTAGTCTTTGACGATAGATGTCTTGGAAGGATTGCTCACATATATTGCATGAGGATGTGAACAATATTGTGGTCAGGTGAGGAGGAGTCCTAGACAAGGCTGGTAAGTCTATTGATGATGTTGTGAAGCCTGATCAACTGAGATGGCTTGGATATGTGTTGGGCGGGCATACTGAGGTTACCGCCTACTTCAAGGTGGTATGCTGCAAGAATTTGTATTAGACTAGAAGGAGGTTGAGGGTGACCGGAAGAGGAGGTGGTACCAGTCAATGAAGTCTCTGACTGTTAGTTTGAATTGTGTAGGGAAGTGTGAGGTACCTGGCTGGAGTCTCTGAGATGATAAGAATCAGTGATTGAGGACTCTTGTTGAGGCAGCTGAAAATCGGTTGCCATGGCGCACATGTGTTCATTTTTTTTGCCCACTTATTCTATTTATGTTAATGTTAAGTGTGACAACTTGAATCGATTCATTCGTGTGCGAGGTTCGATGTTTATTCTTCCTGTTCCTTATATTGGAAGCAAAACGAATCTGTCATTATTTATTGCAACGTGAAGTCGTCACCTGAGAATACACTTACGATCAGAGAATCATGTGTTCATCCTTTTAATTGCTAAATGTTTCAGGTCATCATATGTTGGTGAAGAGGCTAAATAAGACTTGAGTCATTCTTTAGTATCATATATAGTGTCCTCTGTTACATGAAAAAAAACTACTAGGATGGATTCTGTCTATATGTTGTTGTAACGCAACCCTCAACTATGCATAAACTAAATTACAAGCTTTATGACCAGTCTGTTTCGATCCTACGATCTTAGTTTAAGTAACTTTTTAAACATGTATTTATGCTGGGTGATGATTTATGGTGAAATGAGGTTTCGGACAGCGGCCGGGTTCGAACCGGCGACCACCGGGTTTCTGGCCCGATGCTCTGCCAACATATATTGTGATTTTCGATGATCTGCCTTCAGTTCCATTAAAAAAAAGTCAAAACTGTTCACTTCCTATGCTTGTGACATATTCTTGTTCAAATACTGAAATCTCTGCTTTACTTATCAGTTGCATGTTCCTTATATTACATAAGATTTTTCCTGATTTCTATAGTCCAATCGTTTTCTCGTCCAGTTAAAAAATGTTTTTGCCAACAATCAGTATTCCCCTTTTTTACTTTTAGATGATTCCTCCCTAATGTTTTCTAGTTGTCGGCTGTGATTAAAAATAAAAAAATA